CCCAACCCGAAACGTCAGCTTTCCTGCTCCTCTGATGCTGCTTGGCCTGCTGTGTTCATCCAGCTCAACACCTTTTTGTCTCAGATTCTCCAGCATCAGCAGTTCCTACTATCTCTCCCCAGAACATTATCTGGGTCTCTGGATTTACAGTCCAGCGATAATACCACTAGGCCGTTGCCTCCCCCAGTGCAGCAGACAAGAGCTCAGGGAGAATTTAGAACAAAGCTGAAAGTACCAGTGAGAGAAACATAGAAAATTCCAGCTAGCAGGGATTTGACTGAGGGTAAAAGGTTAACCACTTATCACAAGTTTTACAGTGACTTTATAAAGAACATCAAAACTCCACAGGAACTGGATCAAATCCGAAAGGAGCAGAGAGCTTCTTAAACGATTCCTGGTAAACAGTGCAGCATGGAGTAGTATGATCAGGAGGGTCTGCTGCTCCCATCTCTGCTCTCTGCTGAATTGCTCAGTCTCAGCCTACACTGAAGTGGAGTCATGACAAGTGATTTCAGGACCCTGAGCTCTGAACTAAGCGTGGAAAGGTGCTGGTTACCACTTAAATCAGCAGGGTGTCAAGTGAGGACTGGATCAAGCCCTGATTCTTGGGCTGGAGCAGAATGAGCAATTGACAAAGATATGAGACGGCGTGTAGCGTTTGTGTAATCTCTCCAGCTGGGGTGGGTTTCATATATTGTGTCATTGAGCAGGCAGTGAGTGAAAAGACTGCCCCAACTGGGGGCAGATGCAACTGCCTGTACTCTATTTAGACAGCTGCTGAATGGGGAACTGCTGCAGCAGCAAAGCTCATGGCCACTGACTCAATAGTTCATCACACATTAATGGAGAGGGAGCCTTTTTGATTTGTGAAAGCGCTGGCCTTAACTGAATGAGGCTTCAACTTGAGATGATACAACCATTGTCGATTAGCCAATGATGGGGATGGTGTGGAGGGGGATTCTCCCATTGTCCCAACCTGCAGCTCTCAAATATCATTGTAGTCTTTTCTTAGTGAATCTGGCATCAGTCTTCCAATCACTACAAGCAGACTGCAGGTTAAATAACAGATTGTTACTGATATGTGCCAGCCGCAGCTAAGAGGGAACTTGAGGAAAAGGTGACAGGCTGCAGTCAACTTGGTGGCGTCCAGTTTTGCTGATGACCTTAGGTCACCCAAATCCTTGTAAAAGTACAGCCTCCTGAAGTGCTGCTTGTCTGAGAACTGCAGATATGTTAAACTGGGCCCACAGTCTCTGCAGGATCATCATGAGCTCTCCTCCTTTTACCAGTCTTCACTACAGCGTCAGCTATGCTCCTGAGCTGTCGTCACCTCCAGTGACGCAGGAGTTGCTTGCTGGAGCATCAAGTTGAAAATCTACGGAGAAGCTCTTTGAGAACTTCTGCAACCATTACGAGCATTCTGAAAGAGTCTAAATAGCTGAAAGCACCTGCAGTGTATCAGGCCAGGCCAGGGCAGCTGGAAATCCATGTGCCTGTCTGTGTATCCAGATTGCCCCTGGTGTGTGCCTGGGTTCAGGAACTGGAGGTGGAGAATGATGCAGGGGCCTTGATGCCATATTCTGCTGCGTACTTTTACAGCTGTCAGATATGGCATTGGATAAGCCACAAGAAAAGAATTGTTTAAAAACAAAATGTTTACCTCACTGCTGCTCAATTAATGCTGAGAAACAAGGGTGACACTGAGACAATTCCTGAGAATAACGACGGTGCTTACTTTATGTTGTGTGGATACTTTTTTAACATCATTGTTCACTGTTGCATGGTCAGCGCTGACAGGACATTTTCTATTTACTGCCAGGGACTGGAATCAGATATGGGTTACTTGGTTGGAGACTGCCTGTTGGCCTCAGCCTTCCTCTCATATATGGGCCCATTCCTATCAAACTATCGTGATGATATTGTTAGTGTCATCTGGATGAAGGAGGTAAGTTTCAGCTATAAACTGTCCTGTGGCAGTGTAATAACATCTCCAGTGTTGATATGAAATCAAACCGGTATATCTGAGCTATTGAGTCACTGACTGGTCCCTCTGGGTCATTAGTGGCCCCTATCTCATGGTTTTTATTGACCAATATCCTCTGGATTATTGGTTCAGTGGCTGCTATCTCTGGGTTATTGGGTCAGTAATCTGTATCTTCTAAACAAAGAAACCAAAGAACTGTGGATGCTGGAAATCAGAAACAGAAATTGCTGGGGGAAACTCAGCAGGTCTGGTAGCATCTGTGGAGAGAAACTGTGCATTAATGCTGCCAGACCTGCTGAGTTTTCCCAACAATTTCTGTTTTTGAATCAGTATCTCCTGGTTATTAGTGACCTGTATCTCTGGGCTGTTGGGTCAATCACTGGTGTCTCTGGGATACCAGAGTTGAGTACAGGTTTGTGTGCTTTGGTGTACCATTTGATTGTAGTTCATCACAGAGGTGGAAGGGGAAATGACAGCATGTCCATTTATGAGGAAGCATCAAACTGCTCAGGGCAACCATCAAATGTTCTCTCTCCTTCCTCACGTGTACCTTGTCAAAATCCATATTCCTGTATCTTCCCTTCTATAACCACCTTACCTCTCTGTAAGTCATCCTTCATCCTGCTATCATTTACACCTCAATAACCTTGTGGTTGAGACCGCCAGTGTCCCCAGTGTCACACTAGCAGAGGATGGCTTCCTGATGTGGTAGATTGATTGCGCTGTAGTCACACTCTTTGAACGATGTTCCTTACAGATCAACCAACGGGCTGTTCCCTGTTCACCTGACTTTGCGTTTGCAAACTTCCTATCAAATCCCACCACAGTGCGAGACTGGAATATCCAGGGCCTGCCAACAGATGCCTTTTCCACAGAGAATGGAGTCATCGTAACTAGAGGCAACAGGTATGCGGGGTTATGCACCATTGGAATGGTGAGCAGAGGCTAATGTAGCAGTATCAACCCAAAGCTAAAAGGACAATTGCACAGTCAGGGGATCAGTACTGAGGAGCACCGCACTGTCGCAAAGTCAATACTGAGGGGGCACTGCATGTGATCTAGACAAATTCAGAGCAATCTGTATCTAATATTGGGCTGTATGTGCCCTGGGAATGTTTGATGGGGACAATGTGCTTTATTCAGTATCTGACCCCGTGCTTTTAATAAAATTCATTCATGGGATGTGGGCTTTGCTAATTGAGCAGACAATTATTGCCCGCCCCTAGTTGCCCCTGGGGAAGGTGGTAGTCAGCTGCCTTCTTGAACCATCACAGTCCATTTGATGTAGGTAAATCCACAATGTTAGGCACGGAGTTCCTGAAGTTTGACACTGAAGGAACAGCATTATATTTCCATGTAAATGATGGTTGTTTTGGAGGGGAACATGTAGATGGTGGTGTTCCCATGTATCTGCTACCCTTGTTTTCTAAGCCTGAAATCACATGACACCAGGTTATAGTCCAACAGGTTTATTTGAAATCATAAGCTGTCGGAGTGCTGCTCCTTTACCTGACTTGTGTTTTCAAATGAACCTATTGGAATATACATTGTGTCTTGTGACTTCTGACTTTGTCCACCCCAGTCCAACACCAGCACCTCCACATCATGGCTACCTTATTTTTGTAGATGGCTGTCGTCACATTTAGAAAGGACTTTTTAAAGACCCTTGATGAATTTCTGCAGTGTTCTTGTGCTGGATGGAGTTTGTGGATGTGGTGCCTATCAAACTGGCTGCTTTGTCCTGGATGGTGTCAAGCTTCTTGAGTGTTATTGGAGCTGCATGCATCCAGCCAAGTGGGGAGTATTCCAACACACTCCTGACTTGTGCCTTGTAGATGGTGGGACAGGCTTTGGGGAGTCAGGAGGGGAGTTACTCACTGCAGGATTCCCAGCCTCTGACCTGCTCTTGCAGCTGCTGTGTTTATGTGGTGAGTCCAATTGAGTTTCTGGTCAGTAGTAACCCCCAGGATGTTGATAATGGGGATTCAGTGATGGCAACATCACTGAATGTCAAGGAAAGACATTTGGATAAGTATATGAATAGGAAAGGTTTGGACGGATATGGGGGAGGAGCAGGCAGTTGGCACTAATTTAGTTTGGGATTATGTTCGGCATGGACTGGTTAGACCAAAGGGTCTATTTCCATGCTGGATGACTCTGTGACTCTATGGCCATTGCCTGGCATTTGTGTGGCATAAATGTTACTTGCCATTTGTCAGCCCAAGCCTGGATGTTATCCAGGTCTTGCTGCATTTGGACATGGACTGCTTCATTATCTGAGGAGTTGCAAATGATGCTGAACGTTGTTCAATCATCATCAAGCATCTCCACTTCTGACCTAACTGTGGAAAGAAGGCCATTGATAAAGTGCAGAAGATGGTCCAGTCTAGGAAACTAGCCTGAGGAGTTCCTGCAAAGAGTTCCCGAAGTTGAGATGATTGACGTTCAACAACCACAACCATCTTCCTTTATGCTAAATACGACTCCAACCGCTGGGGAGTTTGTCCCCTGATACCCATTGGATCCAGTTTTGCTCAGGTTCCTTGATGCCACACTTGGTCAAAGGCGACCTTGATGTCAAGGGCAGTCACTCTAAGCTCATCTCTGAAATTCAGCTCTTTTAACCAAGTCTGAACCAAGGCTATAATGAGGTCAGGAGCTCAGTGGCCTTGATGGAACCCAGACTGGCATCACTGAGCACCTTATTGCTGAGCAGAACGACCTCTATCACTTCACTGATGATCAATAGTAGACTGATGGGTAGTAATTGGCTGATTTAGATTTATCCTGCATTTTTGCTCAGTGTGGGACATACCTTTTCAGGTGGGTGCCAGTGTTGTTGCTGTGTAGACAAGCATGGGATGTTCTGTAGTAATATTGTTGGAATGTTGTCAGAACCCATAGCCTTTGCAATATCCAGTGTTACCAACCACTTCTTAAAATTACGTGGAGTGAATTGAACAGGCTTAAGACCGACATCTATGATGTTGGGAATCTCTGCAAAAGGCCAGATCATCCACTCAGCACCTCTGGATGAAGATTGTTGCCAGTGTTTCAACCTTGTCTTTTATACACTGATGTGTTAATCGCCTCCTCACTGAAGATAAGGATATTTGTGGAGCCTCATCCTCCAGTGGTTTGTTTAATTTTTCACCAGCAGTTTGCATGGCTGTATTTGCCATTGTCGTTTCCGGTGCCTAGGTCAATGCTAGGTGGTCAGTCAGCCTTAATTCTTTTTCTGAGGCTTTCTAGTGGCTGATAAATCTGAACAGCCATCCAGGAGCAGCTCAGAGTAAACCGCACTCGCTATTGGTCTGTAATCAAATGTTGGCCAGACCTAGTAAAGACAGCAGTTTTATTTCAAAAGACGTTAATGAACTAGATGAGTTTTTTATAACTATGGTTTCGTGGTTATCATTAAACGTTTAACTCTAGATTTGATTGAATTCAAGTTACACAATCTGCGGTGGTTGGATCTGATCCCAGATCCCCAGAACATAACCTGGGTCTCTGTATTACCAACATAGCAATAATACACGGCCTCCACCTCTACCTTCACCTAGAGCTGTCCTGGTAGTATAGAGGAAGCTTAATTCTGTATTCAACCCTGTGCTGTCCCTGTCCTGCGATTATTTGATGGGACAGGGTAGAGGGAGCTTTATTATGTTTCATTCAATACAGTTGTTACAACCAGACCCCAGGCATGTTTTCCAAAATGATTATGCTTCCAGAGGCTTGCCCCGAATCATTACGTTCCTGTGAGAAGGGATGAATCAGCTTCCCTTGTTTATTCACCTGCCCCATCAGTCAGTCCCGAACTGTTCCCTCTTACTGTTTTTCTTCTGCTGGGATCTCTGATATCCATGCACGACAGTGACTTCTGAAACTGAACGTCAGTGCTGGGAATGGTGTTGACCAGCCGATTAGTATGCATGGACTCTGGGAGTGGCTGCTGTTTTGACTGTGACCTTCTCAGGACATGGCCAGAACACACACACCTCAATTCACGGGTTAACTTTTTCCCACTAGCGCATTCAGACTAGAGTTTCAATCAGTTTTCAACACTATCAGTTTTTTTTTTGTATATTCTTGGAAGGGCAAAATGCAAAGAATGTCTGCAAGAGGTAGCTTTCTGCTGTGAGGAGAAAGGTAGTCAACCTCCGCTTTATCTTTTCCTGTTCCATCTCTGACTTTCTGTTTGATGTTCCTTTGACATTCTGCAGGAGTGACATTCCACGGGCCCCGCAGGCCAGATAGCACTGAATTTACACATGCAGTCTTGTTTTGCCTGCTTTGGTTATCTTTTAAAGAAAAATCAGAATTAAAAGTTTTAAAATGTCCTTAGTATTTCGGGTTTCTGATCTGTTACCATGACAGCAATAATTAGGAATCCATATAACTAAAGGCAGAGTGCATTTTATGCAAGGTATTGAAATCTGAGCAAGTCTCTGCATAAGGGGACATAATAGCAAAGAGTGGCTGTAATCATTGGGAGCTGATAGACATGAACAAAATACACAGCTTGACTTGTCTGTCCTTCCCCCAGATGGCCTCTGATGGTGGACCCCCAGGGTCAGGCTCTGAAGTGGATTAAGAACATGGAGTATTCTAAGGTATGAGATTCATGAATCAAGAAGCCGCAGTTAAAATCTGAGCATGGATGCAAGTTTAAGTAAGTAAAACTGGCTGTTAAATAGAATGATGCCAAAGACGAGATGGTGGCAAGACCATTGAGCCTTGACTGACTGCAAACAGCCTACTTTACAGCAAACAGAATCCATTTACTTTGCTGACTTAATTTAACTGCGTGTTACAGCAGTCTACAGAGTCTAATTAAAAAGCTGCTACAAACTATAGCAAACTGAGCTTGTGATCAGAAGCAACAGCTGTTACAGGTAGGGTGATGTCTCCAATGAAATGCGATGAATAGGAGTTAATTACACACTGAAAATGAGGTGTCTAAAATTAATCCCATTTTCCTCAATCAGCAACATCCTGGCATTAAATAGCAGGGTCACTCTCTGCTGCCAAATAACAATCTTTCCTTCTGCCCCTTGACATTTTACATCTTAATTTTTGATTTTGATTTTATTGTCACGTGTACTCAAGTACGAAAGTACAGGAGTACAGTGAAAAGTGTACAATGTCATCACACAAGGCGCCATCTTAGGTACAAGTACCTAGGTACAGAATCATAAGAACAAAGTTAAAAATTGCAGTAGTTATAGTATAGGTAAAACATACAAAATAAGGTTAAAAATTACACATTGCAGACCTTCTTGGGTTTAAGTAGAAAATAAGAAATAAAGCTGAAGGTTCAAACATCTTATATCAAAAATAGAGGGATTGAGTTCAAGAGCCGTGAAGTTATGCTCCAGCATAAAAATTTCTGAAGAAGGGTCTAGGCCCGAAACGTCAGCCTTCCTGCTCCTCTGATGCTGCTTGGCCTGCTGTGTTATTCCAGCTCTACACCTTGTTATCTCAGATTCTCCAGCATCTGCAGTTCCTGCTATCCCGGAGTTGGAAAAACCATTTGCGGTATACACCACCATCTGCTGGCCATTAGCCTGGATTGCAACTCAGTCTGATTGGGCTGGAACTTGCTAACTCAGTAGCAACAGTGGACACTCTCCAAAACACTGCAGGGATGAAATTGTGCTGATGCTGGAAGCTGGAATGACCCTGGGATAATTGGCTACCTCATATAGATACTGTCACACATTCCTTTCTCATGACATTAACAGTGATGGAAAAGAGCTGACTGTAACTCAGTGGCTCAAATTAAACCGTCTGTCAGCCCCAACTTGGACGGCAATTGCCAGGTACCTCCAGAATAAAGGAGACTAATTTATCAGAGCTTCTACCCAGCACTATGAGTTTACTTGTTCCAAAACTAAACGCTGGCCAAGTGCTAGAGAGGGTCAGCTAATTTTGATATTGCGGTTACCTTGTGCAAACTTAAATTATGCACTCACCCTATTTTCCTAGCTGGGAGTGTCTGGGATGTACTGTTTGAATAATACATGCTTACAAGTAACTCAAGTATGCAACACCTCTGTTAACTGAAAGTCAAGAACAGGAACAGTTGTAGATAACACAGTGTGGAGCTGGAGGAACACAGCAGGCCAGGCAACATCAGTGGAGCAGGAAAGTTGACGTTTCGGGTTGGGACCCTTCTTCGTAAATGGGGAGGGGAAGGGAGTTTGGAAATAAATAGAGAGAGGAGGGCTGGGGCTGGAGGTAGGTAGGTGGGATGGGTACAGGTGAGTGCAGGTAGGGAGTGGTGGGGATTCGTCAGTGAGATGGGAGGGGCGGATGGAGGGAGAGAAGATGGATAGGTTGTGTCAGGTCAAGGAGGCAGGGATGAGAGGGAGGGTTGGTCATGGGATGAGGCTGGGGGTGGGGAGATTTTAAAACTGGTGAAATCCATGTTTAGGCCATTGGGCTATAGGCTCCCAAGGTGGAATATGAGGTGCTGCTCCTCCAGTTTGTGGTGTCATTGTGACACTGGAGGACACAAGACAAACCTTCCACATGAGACAGGGGTTCACCTGCACTTGGTCTACTGCATCCGCTGCTCCCGATATGGCCTCCTCTACATTGGTTAGTCCAGACTCAGAGACTGTTTTGTAGAGCACCTGCGCTCCGTATGCAACAAAAGACAACACCTTCCGGTTGTGAACCGTTTCAACTCCCCCTCCCACTCCGAGTGACATGTCCATCCTGGGCCTCCTCCAGTGTCACAATGACACCACCCGCAAACTGGAGGAGCAGCACCTCATATTCCGCCTCAGGAGCTTACAGCCCAATGGCTTCAACATGGATTTTACCATTTTCAAAATCTCCCCACCCCCGGCCTCACCCCATGTCCAATCCTCCCTCTCATCCCTGCCTCCTTGACCTGACACAGCCTGTCCATCTTCTCTCCCACCTATCTCCCCCTCCCACCCCACTGACCAATCCCCATCACTCCCCTGCACTCACCTATCACCATCCCAACTACCTTCCGCAGCCCCACCCCTCCTCTGTCTATTTATTTCAGAGCTCCCTTCCCCCTCCCCATATATGAAGAAGGGTCCCAACCCGAACCGTCAACTTTTCTGCTCCCCTGATGCTGCCTGGCCTGCTCTTCCAGCTCCATACTGTGTTGTTTCTGACTCCAGCATCTGCATTTCTTGCTATCTCACAGGAACAGTTGTATACCTGTAATTCAAGACAGGAACTGCTGTGTACCCTGTAGCTTGAGAGCAGGAACATCCCTGTGCCCTGTAGCTCGAGAGCAGGAACATCCCTGTGCCTTGTAGCTCGAGAGCAGGAACATCCCTGTGCCCTGCAGCTCGAGAGCAGGAACATCCCTGTGCCCTGCAGCTCGAGAACAGGAACATCCCTGTGCCCTTTAGCTTGAGAGCAGGAACAGCCCTGTGCGCTGTACCTCGAAAGCAGGAACAGCCCTGTGCCCTGTAATATGAGAGCAGGAACAACTCTGTGTCCTGTAGCTCGAGAGCAGGAACAGCCCTGTAACTCGAGAGCAGGAACAGCCCTGTGCCCTGTAGCTCGAGAGCAGGAACAGCTCTGTGCCTAATAGCTCGAGTGCAGGAGCTGCTTTGAAACATAATCAACAACAGAGTCATCTCTGTTTCCTGCAACTTGAGGACCACACCAGATCTGATATCTGTAATTTGAAAACTGGATCAACTCTGACACCTGGCACTGAGTGAGAGTTGAGTGAGAGAAAAAAACAAATCAGAAGGTGCTGGAGAAACTGCATAGGTCTGGCAGCATTGTGTAGACAGAATCAGAGTCAATGTATTGAGTCCAATATGACTCCTTTTTGGAATTGAAAGTCTCTAGGGAAAGATGTGTTTTTATGCTGTTGACTGAAGGAGAGGAGGAGGAGTGGGTTGAACAGATGGTGAGGGTGCCCACAGCAAAAAATCGAAAGCAGTGTTAATTGGGGAACAGGAGATATGTGCAGATTGGAATGTTGTTGCTTTTTTCACACTTCTACAAGGGATATCCTGAACTCAACATCTCCTTATTCCTGGAAGGAAAGAAAACTATGGAACTTTGAAATGACTGTTAGCAGAACCAGCAAATCGTTACAGTGTAGAATGAGACCCTTCAGGCCATCTTGTGTGCTCTAGCTTAATAAACTATCCTCCCATTCCAATCCCAGTCTGTGGCCTTACAGATCTTCAGGTGTAAATTGAATTGAGGATTTCTGGGCAGTGAATTCAATACTCCCACCATCCTCCTCATGTCCCCTCTAATTCTTCTCTAATCACCTTAATCCTTGTCATTGACCACACTGCTAGGGAAAACAGATCTTCCCTGACCACTCTATCCAAGTTCCTCATCGTGTTGTACACCTGAATTAAGTCACCCCTCAGCCTTCTCTGTTCTAAGGAAAACAACCCCAGCGTATCCAATCTTTCCACATTGCTACAATCATACTGGTCTTGAATGCCTTCGCAATGGAACCTCACTTATGTAGTACTGGTCTATTTTGACAGTTTTGAACTGGCTTGGGACTGAGGGAAGTGCAGTGTCTTGTAACTCCTGAAAACAAAACCCATTTTACTGAGCAGCTAGAAAAACATTCCTGCCAGATTGACCTCTCTGGTTATTTTTCTCCAGGGACTGAAAGTGATAGACTTTCAGATGACTGATTACATGCGTGTGCTGGAGAAGGGAGTGCAGTTTGGATCTCCTGTCTTACTCCAGAATGTTCATGAAGAATTGGATCCATCACTCGCCCCCATTCTCAATAAATCTGTCAGTAAAGCTGGTAAGTGTCACAGGGAAACCCAGCTATGACCAAAGTCCATTGAGCAGTAAGCCTGACCAACTTGGTAAGGTTTATTGTGGGACCGAAAGGACTAATCCAATCTGCCACACTCGTTATGAGGAAGACTAAATTCTCACACTCAAAAGGTTAAACATGAAGTGACGCACCGTCTAGGTTTCTAAACCAGAATGAATGAACTAATTTTAAAATGTCCCCTTTTGCGCATTAAAATAATCACCTTTGATAGTAAAGACAGGGTCCCAGATTTGATTCCCTGTTCTGTATTGTGGCAATTATTATCCTTATTGGGAGTTGGAATTTAAAGATAGAGGAATTATGGTCAGTTGTGTGAAATTCTTTTAAAAAGGTCAGAAAGTTAATTTGGAAGAGTGACCTAGACACGGTATTGCTAAGGTGAGTACAGTCAAGGGCCTGGAAACATCCCTGTAATGTTAATGGGTAAGATGTTTATACTATTGAGTTTATGACAGGCAGAGGAAACAGAATAAAGCCATTAGTTTTGTTTTAACTTCAGAGCAGAATCATTACCTTCACTATTAGTTTAAGAAGAAATAAGAGAACAGTTCAATTCAGGGAAGCAGTCACTTCAGTAGAAATGTTTTCTAGTCTGTGAAGTTTCCAAACCAGGAGAGCTTGTAGAAAAGTCCTCATGTTGTTGAAACCTGCGAGACTTTAGCCCTCAGAATTGGGAAAGGTTCATGCCCACAAAGCAATTGTAAAGTTATCTCCGAAGTTCATGGATTAGAAACTGGAAGGAGTCAGTTAAGTAGAAACTTAGAGTTGAGGTAGGAGTATAATAGCTGTGGCCTTGAGTCTCGAATGGTCATTGTTGGGAAACATTTTGAAACTTTGCTTTGCTGTCTGCATTAAGATGTTTTTCTGTATCTATATTGCTTGGTTCCTTGATTTTTCTTCTTTAGTATAATAAACATGTGTTCAGTTGTTAAAGAACATCTGCAGCCTCATGTGAATAAGCACTGCATTAACATAAAAAAAATCTATCAAGCCAGAGGTTCGTTTTGAGTTCTGACTTGCGCAGTGGTACCATTAGCTGGGATCATTACAGTGTGAGTTCAGTTGATCTAGGCTCTGGGAGTATAGTGAGAGCTACAACCCACTCTGGGTCCAGAGAGTGTGAAAAATCTGCAAGGATCTACTCGTCGATTGATTCCTGGTGGATAGTGTGAATTGAGTAGGAATTGTGATGAGTGTAGGATTGAGCATGGCTGTGAGTCGCCCTCCTTCCAGGGCTGCTACACTCCGTAAAGGCATGTAGAATGGCGACCTGGGCAAGTTTGGCAGGTTGAAAAAGGTGATGCATGTGGAGAAAAATGAGGAAGTATGTTGAGAATATAATTACAAAGCTTTTGTGTCACTCTAGGTGCAGTTCTTGCATGACGTGACACCTGGTTTCGCAGTTGTATTTCATGTTGCTTCTTCTCTTCCGCAGGTGGGCGACTGGTGATAAAACTCGGAGACAAGGAAATCGAGTACAACGAGGAATTTCGATTTTACATTGCTACCAAGTTGTCTAATCCACACTATCCCCCAGAAATCTCTTCCAAGACCACTATTGTCAACTTTGCTGTTAAAGTGCAGGTTGGTACATACACATACACGTACACACACACATTGTTTGCAAGGGGAGGTTGAACCCTTCTGATAATTAAATTTGAAACACAAGCCCCCAATCTGTTACAGTGGGAGTAGAGGTCCCCTTCTAATAATTAAAACCCAAAACACCCAGAGAAGCTCGCCTCACCTCACCTAATCTGTTAAACTGTTATGGAGTAGGGGAGGTTAAATGAGAGAAAATCCCTGATTATTCACTTTATAAGTAACAAGTAACAATTTATTTATTTAACCTTAACAGTGAACAAATTAACAGACTTGCTAACAAACCGAACAATTCCCCCAACTACTAACTGTTCCCTAACTGAGCTAAATTCTACTGGTATGCTCTTCCGATCAACACAAGTCCCACTTATGTAAACCCAAGTAATAAGAAAATAAATTAAAACTTAGCCTGTCAAAGTCTACGCGCCTTTCATCTGCTGTTCTCAAGTCATAAACGCCTTTCTTCCACTGATCTAGTTCAGGGATGTTTTCTGTGTGAAGTCTTCTGTAAAGACTGTTAGCTAGAAGTGCTGTGGTACCTTTATGGATAGATGGTGCTTTCTTAGAGAGCTTAGGGATTTCTTGTAAGAGCTAAATGCTTATTTCTCAGATGGTGGTTCGCTCCCACACCAATTTTTCAAAAGCCCTCTTCTTATATACCTTGGATGACATTATCAATTTTCTTACAATAGCATTGGTCCGAGGTTGTCAAAACCATCAGATTTAAATTCAATTGGCTTTCAATCACTAAGTGTTTAGTTTAAATTAATTGGCTGATTCCAGCTCATTGCCAAAACATCAAAACAAGCCTAAGGTTTCTAATCACACAGCCAACTGATACATATTTCAATTTCAGCACAGTCTGTACCAATTTAACTGCTTACAGACACATTTTCATTTAAATCTCCAAGCTTAGAAGAGCACATAGTTTCTTAAAGGGACTACGTACTCTTTCCCCTTATCATATTTTTTACGAACAAATTTTAGCTTCCTGCCTTCCAATTCACGACTACTCTACACCACTTCGTAGCACCTCCCCACTGAAGAAAAAAATGAACTATCATTATGAAAAGATGGTTTCATTTTTTTTAAAATCTTAACACCATTATCACAAGGTACATAGGTCAGTAATCTTAAATTACACCTTTCATACTAATTCGGCGTACATTTATAACATTGGACCATACTGGTTCTATCTTATTTACACATTTTCTTTTACACCCATGATAACATATTTGCAACAACATTTTTACGACCTGTAACATGTACAACCTGTAAATTAAAAGCCTATAACTTAAGACTCCAATGAAATAGTCTCATATTTTTGTCCTTAAACCTTTCCAGAAAGATGAGAGGGTTTTGGTTTGTATACATAACCACCTCTGAAACATTGTTTGTAACATAAACATTAAAATGTTGTAAGACCAGTGCCAAACTCAATAACCCTTTTTCAATGGTGGAGTATTTTCTCTGGTAGATATTGAGTTTCTTTGTAAAATAACCAACTGACCTTTAAATTCTGCAATCATCTTCCTGCATCAGTGCATCTTCAACCCCTATATCGCTGGCATCGATAGCGACTTTAAAGGATATCATGAAATTTGGTGTGGCTAAAACTGGTGCAGTGGTTAACATCGCTTTTAAACTCTCAAATACCTCCTGGCATTGTTGTGTCCACCGAGATTTTGTAATATTCTTTAGCAAATCTGTCAGTGATGCCACCATGCTACTAATGTTTGGTACAAACGTCCGATAAAGTCCACTCAGTCCCAAAAATCAAAGCACCTCTTTCTTCAAGGATGGTCTTGTAAATTCCTCAATGGTCTTCGTCTTCATGTTTCTCAGGGTGATCCTTCCATGTCCGATGTTGTGTCCAAGAACGTCACTTCTGCCTTTGCGAGTTCAGTTTTTGCTAAATTTATAGCCAATTTTGCCTCCCATAGTCTTTCAAAGAGCTCTGCCAAATGCACGTGATTTTTCTAAGAATGTCTAAAGATCACTCATCTATATAGACAGCACAATTAGTCAATCCTGCCACAACTCTGTTCATAAGTCTTTGAAAAGTGGCTGATGCGTTCTTCATTCCAAAGGGCATTACTTTAAATTGATACAGCCCATTTGGGGTTACCAATGCAGAAACTTCTTTCGCTCTCTCCGACAAAGGTGCTTGCCAGTAACCACAAAGTAAGTCTAACTTTGTCCAACTTTTTCCACACAGTCCTCCAGCCTTGGAATTGGGTATGAGTCCTGTTTAGTTACGGTGTTGGCCTTCCGATAATCCACGCAGAATCATTGAGTACCATCAGGTTTGGGAACCAACATGAACGGCGAACTCCACTCGCTTTGATTCAGTTCAGTGATATCTTCTTGGAGCATCGTTTCCACTTCCTTCTGTACATGCGGCTTTGAAAGGATTAAACCGTAGGGGTGTTGCTTTATCGGTGCAGCATTCCCTAACTTCAACCTCATGTACTATAATATTAGTTCTCCCCATTCTATTCCTACAGATGTCCTCATATTGCTGCAACAAGCCTTTCAATTCAGTTTTCTGTTCCTGAGACAGATAGCTCTCTATCCTATCCCATTCTCTAAGGACTTTCTCATTATTTAATTTATTTTGAGGCACATCAAAACACAAATAATTTGGATTTGATTCCTCACTCTGAGGGGCAGTGACTAATACCTGTTTCTCTGGTTCCTTGTCCCTGTCATAGTAAGGTTTCAGCATATTCATATGACATACCCAATAATTTTTTTCCTATCTGGCATCTTTACCAGATAACTTACCTGGCTCAACTTCTCAATCTGATAGGGACCACTAAACCTTGCTTTGAAGGGATCTCCTACCACTGGTAACAGCACTAATACTTTATCCCTATGGGTAAAACTATGAGTTTTAGTTTATCTGCTTCTTGCTCCATTAGATGCTGCGCAACCTTCAGATGTTGTCTAGCTAATTTACCTACTCTGTTTAATCTTTCTCTCACCACAGATACATAATTCAACTGTGAGATCTCTGACCGGATCTATCAACTTTTCCTTAATTAATTTAAAAGGCCCCCTTACTTCTTGTCCGAATATCAACTGAAATGGAGTAAACTGCGTCTATTCATTTGGGGCGTTTCTAATGGCAGACAATACAAATGGGACACCTTTTGTCCTAATCATTTGGGTAATCCTGACAATAAGAAGTCAGCATGGTCTTTAGGGTCTGATGCCACCTTTCCAATGCTCTCTGGGATTCAGGATGGTACGCACTTGATTTAAAGTGTTTGATGCCTAAACTATCCACGACCTCCTTAAATAATTTGGCAGTAAAATTGGACCCTTGGTCTGACTGAATCTCCCTGGTGGTCTGTAATGGGTAAAGAAAGCAAGCAATTCCTCCATAACCTTTTTGCCTGGACATTCCATAATGGAATTGCCTCCAGAAACCAGGTAGACACATCCATTACGGTTAGCAAACACTGGTTCCCACTTTTGGTTTTAAGGAGGGGACCTGCACAATCAATCGTAGCCCATGTAAAACGTTCTTCAATTGCGGGAATTGGCATCAAAGGGGCTGGTTTTATTACTGCCGGTGGCTTTCCTACCATTTGACATGTGTGACATGCACGGCAACATTCAACCAGATCTTTATGTAATCCAGGCCAATAAAAATGCTTCTGTATCTTAGCCTGCGTCTTCCTTAATCCTGGATGAGCTCCTACAGGTAATTTGTGTGCTAACCACAATACTACTGGCAACACTGTCTGGTTCATTTCCACCCATTTCTCCTCTGCACTAATCTGCCGCAGTCTCCATTTTCGCCTTAAGATTCTATCCTTAAGGTAATAACATTCAGGAATACATTTTTATTCCCTTTTCCAAGTAGGCTTTATGATATAAACCTTTTATTGTCTCATCTTTTCGTTGTAACTCCATTAATCTTTCAGAACTAAACACTTCTGCCTGATCCTCAACCTATTCAGGCTTTTCCTGTACCATTTCATCAAACTGGGTGTCAGCTAACTGGACCTCAACTCCTTCACCTCGCTGTCTCTTTGTTTTCTCCTTTTTGCTGTAACTTATGGCTGTGGGATCTTGTTACCACACAGTCCGGAAAAATTCCAGGGTATTTTTCTTTTAACTTCTCAGTTGCCTGGTTTTCCTTCAGTTTCTTCACTACAAGAGGCATCACTCCCACCTTTGATCCTAGGTCTTTTCCAAGAACAAACTGCCTTCCTGGAATAGACACTCTTTCAATCACTCGCACTGTCACTTCCCCAATCTTGATTGGACTTTCCAACCTGATCTTACACAGGGGAATGCTAAATCTCTCTCCATTTATTCCACAGATTATCATTCTCTCGGGTAACATTTCAGAAGGAGTGCAAATACTTTCATCTCTTACTATCAGAGACTGGTTACCTCTCAATATTTTAACTTCTTTACCTTCTCCCCCTGTTCTTCCTGAGTAAACCTTACCCACACAGGTGAAGTCTTTGTAGAGATCAGGCACCATCTCACTATCCAGCCTGTGACTAGGCTGTGCACTCTCCTGCAGCTCCTCAACTTCTTTTGGGATTTCCTTCACTACCTCAACTAATCCCACTATTTTACCCTCTTTCACCACATCCTTTCTCCCAGTGCCTTTCTTAAACCACCAGCCTTGTGACTTTGTCTGTCCTACGCCATTACAGTGAAACACCTCAGGCCTTTCATCTCGTTTTCACCCTCTTGGGTTTATTTTTTCACCTGTAGTAAACTGCTCCCAGTGTTTTTCATTGAAGGATCTCCCTTTTCCCCAATTTCTATCCCTCACAGAATGAAATTGCTGTCAGAAGCTAAACTTCGGTTTATGCACTAATATGTATTCATCCATCATTTCTGCAGCTCTTCTTGCTGTTTGACCTTTCTGTTCCTCAACATGAGTTCTTATCATTTCTGTAAGTGAGGTTTTAAACTCCCCCAGCAGAATAATCTCTCTAAGAGCCTCGTCTGTCTTTTTCTATCTTAAATGCTCTCACCCATCTATCAAAGTTGCTATGTTTAATTCTTTCAAACTCAACATAAGTCTGACCTGGTTCCTTCTTTATGTTTCTGAACCATTGTCTACATGCTTCTGGTACCAATTTGTAACCCCTCAAAACAGCCAGTTTGACATCTTCATATTCTCCTGACACCTCCTCTGACAGCGCTGCAACCAACTTGGTCTGAGTTAACATTACCCGCACAGTCTCTGGCCAGTTCATCTGGTTAGCCAATTTCTCAAAGGAAATGAAAACGGCTTCTACATCCTTTTCATCAAATTTTGGTGATGTTTTAAAATATTTATATAAATCCCTACCAGGCTGTTGGCTGTGATGAGTTTGCTCATCCTCGCTTCTATCTTGTACATTTCCTTCTGCCATTTGAAGCCTTTTTGCTTCTAGCTGCAACTTAATCTTTTCCAATGCGAGCATTCTTTCTTTTTGCTTTTTCTCAGCTTATAACAGTAATTCAAACTGTTTCATTCTCTAACTCCAGTTGTCTTATTTGCAATTTAATTTTTTCTAGCTGCACTTTCCTGTTTCTCTGGTATACCTAAATGCTTGACTGACTCCTTTACAGTTTCAGCTTTTCTCTTGTCCCTAGTTAAACCCGATTCTAGCCTGTTTGCTAATTCTAAAAGTATATCCTTACTCTGTTTTTCTAAACTTTCTTGGCAAATTTGGGAAGCATCTTCAAATCCCAGAACCTCTTTAGCAATGTTGAGAGCCATTTCCCTCACTTTTAATTTAACCAATCACAAGTAACCGAAATTAAATTTTTCTCACCTAAATTTAATTTAAAGATCCAGGACACTAAACCCCAAGTCTGTTTAAATCTGCCCAAATCCATTCAGATCCCATACATGAGCTGGCCAGATCCCGGACTTGAGCTACCAAACTGTTAGGAAGGGGAGGTCGAACCCCTCTGATAATTAAAATCAAAATACAAGCCCCCAATCCATTACAGTGGGAGTAGAGGTCCCTTTCTAAATAATTAATCCCAAAACACACAGAGAAGCTCGCTTTGCCTCACCTAATCTGTTAATCTGTTATGAAGAAGGGAGGTTAAATGAAAGAAAATCCTGATATTCACTTTATAAGTAACAATTTATTTATTTAACCCTAACAGTGAACAAATTAACAGAATTACTAACAAACCAAACAATTCCCGCTTAAATACTAACTATTCCCTAACTGAACTAAATTCTACAGGTATGTTGTTCTGATAAACACAAGTCATACTTACATAAACCCAAGCAATAAGGAAATAAATTAAAACACAGTCTCTCAAAGACTACATGCCTGTCATCTGCTGTTCTCAAGTCATAAATGCCTTTCTTCTGCTGATCTGGTTGTCAGGGATGTTTTCTGTGTGAAGTCTTCTATGAAGACTGTTAGCTAGAAGTGCCATGGTACCTTTTATGGATAGACGGTGCAAACAAATTCTAGTTTCCTGCCTTCCAATTCAAGATTACTCTACACAGCTTTGTAACAACATACACATACACATATGCAGTTACACACACTCCAGAGTGGGCAGCCTGGAATCTAATTGAGCAGACCTTCACAGATGCTGCGGGTGGTCTAAATTCACATTAATTAGCATTGTTCTCTTGTTGTTGTGGGTTCCAACTGACCATGTTCTGACTTGCCATTTTCCCACCAATTGGGCAACAGTACAGAAACACCCACAATAATGGTAGGTATCTTTTCCCTGGGATGGGGGATTTCAAGTCCAAGGGGTACAATATTTAAGGTGAGAGGAGAGAGATTTAAAAAAGACATAAGAGGCAAACTTTTTGCACAGAGGGTGGTTTGCATGTGGAATGAACTTCCTGAGGAAGTGGTGAATGTGGTTATAGTTACGCTTAAAAGACATTTGAATAATTACATGAATAGGAAAGGTTTGGAGGGATACGGACCAGGATCAGGCAGGTGGGACTAGTTTAGTTTGGGATAATGGTCGGCATGGACTAGTTGGACCGAAGGGTCTGTTTCCGTGCTGTATGACTTCATGATTCTATAACTTTGCAAACTCCACAGATCTAGGGGATGCAGTCCATCAGAAACAAGAGCACAAGTCCCCCAACCTGGGAAGCCTGATCTTCATGGGCTTGGTTTAACGTGTCGTGGACACTGGGCATATTCATTTGGAAAACACCAGTGGGGATTAAATGAATGGTGAGGTATGGCCCAGTGCCTGTGGAAGGACAGGGTTGACGGCTTTCTCTGGATCTGTGTTTATTCTTGTACTCTTTCTGGCTTAACCCTGCTGTAGGGCCTTGAGGCGCAGTTACTGGGCAATGTGGTGAGGAAAGAACGGCCTGAACTGGAGGAGCAGAAAGATTCGTTGGTGATGAACATTGCAGCTGGCAAGAAGAAACTGAAAGAACTGGAGGATGAAATTCTAAGGTAAGAGGTTGAGTTTGACCCTGAAGACTCGGTTGCCCCAGAGGATGCTGGTCACTGGACGGAGATGTGCGATCAGTCCATTGGGCTAACTCTGCTGTTTGAAGGAGGAACCAGTTCATGGGTGATGCCCTGACCAGGCTAGCAGGCTGCTCAGTAGGAAACTGGTCTAAAAGTAACCTTCAGAAGGATAGGAGGAAGGGAAGATGCCCAACCTCTCATAATCCTGAACCTCGAGCTGTGAAGTGCTGAATTTCACGCTGAGGCCCTCCTTTCCTGTTTTCTCCAGACTCTTGAACGAGGCAACAGGCTCACTCCTCGATGATGTGCAACTTGTCAACACCCTGCAGACTTCAAAGGTGACTGCCACAGAGGTTGCAGAGCAGATAGACAGCAGTGAAACAACGGAGGTGAAAATTGACTCTGCTCGAGAGGTTAGTGCACAGACATCAACCAAATCCAAGCCAATTAACATCTGAAAGAGCACATTTAACCTTGCCCTTTCTTAGTCTAATCCAAACTTCTTATTTCAAAGAGCCTGGTTTAGACCATTAAGATAGTTTACATAAGTGTTCCACATGAAATGAGTACAGAATGGTCTTAATCCAGCTGCTGGTGGACACAGACTGCCGACAGCCTGTTCAACTTGAAGGCCCATCCATACAAGACCATCCTTTAGGGTGGCACGGTGGCACAGTGGTTAGCACTGCTGCCTCACAGCGCCAGGGACTCGGGTTCGATTCCAGCCTCGGGTGACTGTCTGTGTGGAGTTTGCACATTCTCCCCGTGTCTGCGTGGGTTTCCTCCAGGTGCTCCGGTTTCCTCCCACAGTCCGAAGATGTGCAGGTTAGGATGGATTGGCCGTGTTAAATTGCCCGTAGTGTTTAGGGAGGTGTAGATTAGGTGGGTTATAGGGGGATGGGTCTGGGTGGGATGCTCTGAGGTTCGGTGTGGACTTGTTGGGCCGAAGGGCCTGTTTCCACACTGTAGGGATTCTATGATTCTATGACAACCGCTAATAAATCCAAGTGGGAGTTCAGGAGAAACCACCTTACCCACAGGGAGTGGCCAGGGTGAATGGTGTTGATACACTGAAGGGGGGAAGCCGGATAAACACACCAAGGGGGAAGGAATAAAAGGATATTCTGAAAGGGGGTGTAAAGAGGGGCTTGAAGAAGCTTTGGCTGAAAGATAAATATCAACACAGACACGGTGATCTGAAAGATATGCGAGATCTGAAAGTACCCTGTTCCTTCCTCTCTCTCTCTCCCCCTTTCTCTCTCGCTCTGACCCTCCTCCAGAATAGTCAAGTCTGGAGGTAACATGGGGATGGATGAGAGTTTCAGAAAGGTCTCCCTTAGCTTTTTGCATGATATGTTGTATTATTAGGACAGGAACTATCGTGCTCAATAATTTACTCCATGGTTTCTTGCTTAACTTCGAGGGGATGGTTATCATCTCCAGTGTCTGGGTGCTTGAGCTTTGCTGGGTATCTGCGTGACCAGTAAGGCCAGTTTGTGTCTGGAAGGTACTGCTGTAAATAGGACAGGACAGGGCAGTTTGGTGAATTATTGGATCAGGAATTCCACTTGTCATGTCTCTCTGTCTGCTATGCACTTGCTTTTCAAAGAGGCCACACTGTCTTTTTATAATTTGGGTTGCATCAGAGGTAGTGATCCCAGTTGAGATTCTCCCTAGACCCAAAGTCAATTTGTAAATTCCTAAGTGATGTTTTCACAGTGTCGTAGCATTTCCTTTAACTGTTGTGATGGAATGCTGCAGGCTCTCACTTTCTGTAAAGATTTACTTTGAGTTGTTAGGCTTTCTGGCTATGCGACCATCATAATACAGTTGTGACTGTCCAAGTATGGTGTGGGTGCTTAGTGTGCTAGCTCGAGTGAACCCCTGAGTGTCTGGAATTTTGACCTGCCATCCGATCTTCAGCAGCTTCTGAAGGCAGCTCAAGTAAAAATGGTTGATGTGGCACAGTCCAAGTCTCTCATGTGTAGACTATGCCAATGGTAAAAGGTAAAACGCTCAGCAGGCCTGGCACAGCGGTGCACAGAGAAACAGAGTTAACTGTGCCTAGTGGCCTATTTGGGATGAGGTACGAGAGGGGAATGTGGGAATGCTGTGAAATCTTTCCACAGCAAGGGCCAGTTCCTCCAGATGAGGCTGAGAGGGAAGATCGCAAATAGCAGAGGGTTACTGGGGAAGGTCACCCTGAAGAGCCTTTAAATATCATCTGTATATGTCTCTTTAAACTCAGGGTTACCGCTCATGTGCTGAGCGAGCTTCCATCCTTTTCTTCGTGTTGAACGACATGGGAAAAATCGACCCCATGTACCAATTTGCACTGGATGCCTACATAGACCTCTTCAACCTGAGCATAGAGAAGAGCAAACGCAGCCCCAAACTGCAGGAGCGCATCATCAATCTCAACGAATACCACACCTATGCTGTCTACAGGTAAGCGGCCAGTTTAATGAGGGCTCAGGGTCAGACTGGGAGAATAGGGTGGACTTCACATGACCACCGCCATTCTCACTGAAACCAACTCCATTGACTGGATGAAAGATATTGCCTGACAAATTTGTTTACTCGCCACCTGAAAACCTGGTACTGGACGGCCCAACCAGGCTGTGGGGCATTTGTTCATTTTTGTATGCTGGGGATGCGCTGAAATCTGGTTCCATTGTAGTGCCTTGTGATTACCCAGGAAAACGACCACCAGCTGGAACGAGGCTCATTAAGGACACAAATGAAGTCAAGGCTGATTTATATCTCCGAGATAGTAAGAACTGCCGATGCTGGAGTCAGAGATAACACAGAATGGAGCTGGAGGAACACAGCAGGCCAGGCAGCATCAGAGGAACAGGAAAGCTGACCAGGATCCCAACCCAAAACGTCAACTTTCCCTGTCCTTTGATGCTGCCTGGCCTGCTGTGTTCTTCCAGCTCCACACTGATTTATATTTCAATTCCTTCCTTTTGTCTTCGTCCCATAACCGATTATCTCCTAACCTAACCAAAATCTATCAGTCCTAGGTTGTCCCTGTTTTGAGGATTAGATCTAGTGCAGAATGAGGAGTTAGAATTTGCCACGCTGTGCAGGGAGTAGTCGGGTGATTTTAATTCTCCATTAATCCTAGGTACACGTGCCGAGGGCTCTTTGAGCGACACAAGCTGCTTTTCAGTTTTCAAGTGTGCATCAAGATCCTAGAGGTGGCCGGGAAACTCAACATGGATGAGTACAATTTCTTCCTGCGTGGGGGTGTGGTGAGTGTCGGCCAGTGGGTGTGAGAGGAGGGGCATGTGCTATGGTGAAGGTATACCGGATGGGAAGGGAATCCATTATCTTTGACTGTGTGGCATGTCCCAGAGGGGATGCAGTGAGTGTATCTGTGGTTATGTGTCATGTCCCACCCAGGATGCAGTGATTGTGCCAGTGGTTGTGTGGTGTGTTCCAAACAAAAAATGTGGAAGAGAGAAATATTTGTTTCATGGTAAGTCCAAAAATGGGATAAATAAAGGAGGAGTGGCTAATTTGAGTTCTATAAAGAAAAACCAGATTGAAGGTAGGAGTTGTGAAATTCTACTTCAGTATTGGGAGTTGGGATAATGAGTTTAGATTTTAATGCAGGGAGAATGTAACAAGAAGGAATTGCACATAGGACAGAAGAATCAAAGCTCAGGAGGAATAACAGTGGGAACTTCAGAAGGAAGATTGACTTCCCAACATATTGATACATGGAGGTCACTAGCATCAACAATTATATAGCAGCTTTAATGCAATAAACATTCCCATGATTTTTCACAGGCTTCCCACAGAATTGAACAATGAGCCACGTGAGGAGATATTAAGACAGGTAACAGAAGCTTGGTCATTAAGAACAAAAGAATAAGAACAATACAGTACAAGAACAGGCCCTTCAGCCCTCCAAGCCTGCACTGACACAATTTACCCTTCCATTATAAAATTGTCTTCACTTATAGGATCCGTATCCCTCTATTCCCTTCCAATTCATGTGTTTGTCCAGGTGCTTCTTGAATGCTGTTGTTGTGTCTGCTTCCACCACCTCCTCTGGCAGCTCATTCCAGGCACTCATCATCCTATGTGTGGAAAAACTTGCCTTGCACATCTCTTCTAAACTTCTCCCCTACACACCTTAAACCTGTGTCCCCTTGTAATTGACCCCTCCCCCCTGGGAAAAAGCCTCATACTTTCCACTCTATCCATGCCATTCACAATCGTATAAACTTCTGTCAGGTCGCCTCTCAACCTCCTGCATTCCAGTGAAAACAAATCCAGTCTATCCAACCTTTCTTCATGGCTAAAATCCCCCATATCAGGCAACATCCTGGTAAACCTTTTCTGTACCCTCTCCAAAGCATCAATATCCTTCTAGTAGTGTGGTGACCAGGACTGTATGCAATATTCCAGTTCTGGTCACCACACTACCAGAAGGATGTGGATGCTTTGGAGTTAAATTAGGTATTAAGGAACACAGTAAACGGGGAGAGATGAAGGTGGACAGGATTAGGAAGGGAATTCCACAGCACTCGATAGTGAAGTGATTAAAACTGGCCATTTGCAAAAGACCAGAATTGGTGGAATTGCAGAGACCTGGTAAGGTTATGGATTTGGAGGAGGTCACAGAGATAGGAGGAAAGGTGGCGAAGGTGAAAGCCATGAAGGGATCTGAAAACAAGGATGTCGTCTTTTACCAGGGCCAGTACAGATCAGTGAGCATAGAAGCGAGGTGTGAATATGATTAGTGCAGAACAGGGTTAGAGAGGGAAATTAGAGCCTCAGGTGGGATAGCTTGCTGGCTCCTTTGTGTCTTGTCCAGGACAATGGCTGTGGTACTAGGAGGGCCATCTTCAGATGTGGAATCAGCAATGAAGATAGATTTGGACTTTAGATTGTAGTAAGTTGGTAATTGAAAAGTTCCCAAGTTTTAACTGTAAAATGTGAACATTTTGTTTCCTGCCTCCTACAGGTGCTGGATAAAGAGGAGCAGATGGACAATCCTTGTCCTTCCTGGCTTGCTGATGCCAACTGGGACAACATCACAGAGCTTGATAAATTAACAAACTTTCATGGTATTATGAACTCCTTCGAGCAGTATCCCAAAGACTGGCATGCCTGGTATACCAGTGCTGAGCCAGAAACAGCTATGCTGCCAGGTGAGTTTCCTTGGAAGTGCCCCAACATTGTACAGCTATGAGCATCAGGAGACTATGGATTCAACTTTCCAGTGATCATGCATGTATTGGGAGCATCAAATGGAATTAAAAGCTCAGAAACAGGCCAGTCAACCCAACTGGTCCATACTGGTGTTTATACCTTCATATCTTTCTCAAACCTGCTCCGACCCCTCTTCATCTTACCCTAATGCCATATCCTTTTTGCTTCCTTTGATTATCTAAATGCCTCTTAAAGGCATTCTGCTTTGTGAAGCTACTTTCCAGTCTGTATACCCAGATCTCATTGCTTCACCAGCCCATTTACTTTGTGATCTGCAAGGAATGAGAGACTTCCTTATCCCTCCTCCTAATGTGAGCCAGCTCCTGCCCTGATCATACTAAATTTCATTTCTCGTCCGCTCACTCGCAGTTTCCCAACCTGCAGCAGCTACCAGCCAGGCACGGAAATTGAGAGCAGTGCCCTCTCATCCTTGTCTATCATCTCAGTCTAACTCAAACTGTTTCTTCACAAGTTAACCCTGCCTTGTATTTCCAGGCTGTTTCTTTGTTGTACGCACGCTAATTATTTCATTAATCTGACTATATTCTTCCTTTGGTGAATCTCCCTCATGAGATACCCTATATCTCGCTAAAACCTGCTCAGAAACATTTTACGTTGACTGTCATCACTCCAAGTCTCAACCTCCATCACACGCCTGTAATCTGCCCCACCTCGAATTATCGACTGGAAAGGGGAGAGTTGCTGTAGCTGCCACAACAACTTGCTCGTGTGTCTAATTCACACTGTCTTGCTTTCTGTAGTTGAGTGGGATAATACCTGCAATGAGCTCCAGCGCATGCTGATTGTACGATCCTTAAGGCAGGACCGCATCGCATTCTGTGTGACCTCATTCATCGTCAACAATCTTGGCTCCAAGTTTGTGGAGCCTCCTGTGCTGGACATGAGATCGGTCAGTAAGAAACAGGGCACCCAAATCAGAATTCCAGCAAGTGGCCAGCCTTCAGGAATACTAAATTAATCCTTTCCCTCCTCGCAGGTCATTGATGACTCCAACTCCAGGACGCCACTGATATTTGTGCTCTCCCCTGGGGTGGATCCCACTAACTCTCTGCTCCAGCTTGCTGAATACTCTGGTATGGCAAGTCGGTTCCTCGCTCTTTCGCTGGGTCAGGGTCAATCCCCCATCGCCACCCGTATGATTACAGAAGGCGTAACAGAAGGTATGTGAAGCTAGTAGGTAAACCTAGTCCCGCCCCGGGATGTGATGAAAGGAGGAACACTGTTGTCTTGTGACATAGAAAGAGGCCACTAAGCCCATCTCATCTATACTGGTGTTTATCCTGTGTTTATCCAGCTTCCCCTTAAGCAGATCTATTTTTTGTTTGCCTCAACCAGCCCCCTGTCTCAACCATCCACCCAGTCCATAGTCATCAGTTCCACACTCTCAGCAGTCTCTTGCTAAAAAGTCATCTCTCTCAAATTATTTACAGCCCCGGTTCTGGAGTTGCTTGCAAGTGGAAGCATTCTGTTTACTCTTGACTGTTTTAGTTCATCCACCCTGAGATAGGGTTAGGGTTAGGGTTCAGTCCCTCCATCAAATTATCTGAGCTTCTTCTTGAAGGCTGTTTCCCCTCCGTTACCCTTCCTTGCATCCATTCCATTGCGCTGACCCTCTGTATCTGGATGAATTTTTTCACACCACTCGCGAGTTTGCCTTTCACCATTGTAAGGAGCCAGCCTTTTCCCACAACTTCATTCAGGTGTGCTTGTAGGACTCTGTCTCCAACAAGCAATAACTAACCAGCCGTACCCATTGATCAGACAAACCTTGGGTTGCTGTCTTTCCCCTGTCATAACATCCAACGTTTCTGAAACAGTTCTATGTCCTTGCTTTCGTTAGCTTTCATGGGCATTCATTCCAAGCATTGGTAGAATGATGGATGATATTATTTGTGAACTAAACAAGCCTCTCATACCCTGGGGAAGTGAGAGACAGTAGTGAAAAAGTACAAGGTGATCTGTTTTCTCTTTGTGTGACTGACAGGTAACTGGGTGTTCCTTGCAAACTGTCACCTGTCGCTCTCATGGATGCCCCAGTTAGATAAGCTGATAGAGCAGCTGCAAGTCCAGGATCCACATCCCGATTTCCGACTTTGGATAAGCTCCAGCCCTCACCCTGACTTTCCTGTCTCCATCCTGCAGACCAGCATCAAGATGACAACAGAGCCACCAAAGGTAACCCTCAGAGGGCTCATCTTCCGGCTTTCAGGAGTTCCTTTCACTCCTTTTTTTTATTCTTCTGTGGGATGTGGGCATCCCTGGAAAGATTAGCATTTGATCCCCATCCCTAATTGCCCCCTTGAACTGAGCGGCTTTGCTCGACCACTTCAGAGGGCAGTTCAGAGACAACCACATTGCTGTGGGTCTGGAGTCACATATAGGACAGACCAAGTAAGGATGGCAGACTTCCTTCCCTGAAAAGGGCATTAACGAGCCAGAATGGGTTTGACGCCAATCCACTGTGAATCATCAAATCATACCATTATGGCCCATCGAGGCTGAACCACCAAAACTACCCTAAATCTACAGTAGTCCCACTTTGCAGCACTAGAATGACCCTTCAAGTGCTATCCAAGAACTTTTTAAAGGTTATGAGCTTTCCCACCTCAATTCCCCTCCCAGACAGTGCATTCCAGACCCCAACCACTCTCTGGGCGAAAACATCTGTCATCAACTACCCTCTAAAGCCCCGGGCTTTCAATTTAAAATTATGCCCCTTTGTTATTGACCCTTCAACTCAGCTGATTTCCATCCACCCTGTCCATTTCCCTCATAATCTTATATACTTCTTTCAGGTACACCCCACAAACTTCTCTGCTCCAAAGAAAACAACCCAAGCCCACCCCTGAGCACCAAACTCCAATCCCAACCTCACCATTAAACCCGCGGACAAGGGAGGCGCAGTTGTAGTATGGCGCACTGATCTCTACATCGCCAAGGCCAGACGCCAACTCTCCGAGACCTCCTCCTACCGCCCCCTTGATCATGACCCCACCCCTGAGCACCAAACCATCATCTCCCAAACCATCCACAACCTCATCACCTCGGGTGACCTCCAACCTCATCGTTCCCCAACCCCGCACTGCCCGCTTCTATCTCCTTCCCAAAATCCACAATCCTGAATGCCCTGGTTGACCCGTTGTCTCCGCCTGCTCCTGCCCCACCGAACTGATCTCCAACTATCTGGACTCCATTTTCTCCCCCTTGGTCCAGGAACTCCCTACCTATGTCCGTGACACCACCCACACCCTCCACCTCCTCCAAAACTTCCAATTCCCCGGTCCCCAACACCTCATCTTTACCATGGACGTCCAGTCCCTCTACACCTGCATTTCCCATACAGATGGCCTAAAGGTCCTCTGCTTCTTCCTGTCCCGCAGGCCCGACCAGTCCCCCTCCACTGACACCCTCATCCGCTTAGCCGAACTCGTCCTCACCCTCAACAACTTCTCTTTCAATTCCTCCCACTTCCTACAGACAAAGGGGGTGGCCATGGGTACTCGCATGGGCCCAAGCTACGCCTGCCTCTTTGTAGGTTACGTAGAACAATCCCTCTTCCGTATGTACACCGGCCCTAAATCCCACCTCTTCCTCCGTTACATTGATGACTGTATCGGCGCCGCCTCGTGCTCCCACGAGGAGCTCGAACAGTTCATCCACTTCACCAACACCTTCCACCCCAACCTCAAGTTTACCTGGACCATTTCTAATACCTCTCTCCCCTTCCTGGACCTCTCTGTCTCCATCTCGGACAACCACCTAGAAACCGATATTCATTTCAAGCCCACCGACTCCCACAGCTACCTAGAATACTCCTCCTCCCACCCACCTTCCTGCAAAAATGCTATCCCCTATTCCCAATTCCTTCGCCTCCGCCGCATCTGCTCCCAGGATGAGGCATTCCACTCCCGTACATCTCAGTTGTCCTCGTTTTTCAAGGACCGTAACTTCCCCCCCTCAGTGGTCGAGAACGCCCTCAACCGTGTCTCCCACATCTCCCGCAACTCATCCCTCACACCCCATCCACGCAATAAGAACCAAAAAAGAATCCCCCTCGTCCTCACGTACCACCCCACCAACCTCCGGATCCAACGCATCATCCTCTGACACTTCCGCCATCTGCCAACTCCCCACCACCAAAGACATCTTTCCCTCCCCACCCTTATCTGCTTTCTGGAGGGACCACTCTCTCGATGACTCCCTTGTCCGCTCCACACTCCCCTCCAGCCCCACCACACCCGGCACTTTTCCCTGCAACCGCAGGAAATGCTACACCTGCCCCCATACCTTCTCCCTCACCCCCATCCCAGGCCCCAAGAAGACTTTCCACATCAAGCAGATGTTCACCTGCACATCTGCCAATGTGGTATACTGCATCCGCTGTACCCGGTGTGGCCTCCTCTACATTGGGGAAACCAAGCGGAGGCTCGGGGACCGCTTTGCAGAACACCTACGCTCGGTTTGCAATAAACAACTGCACCTCCCAGTCGCAAACCATTTCAACTCCCCCTTCCCATTCCTCAGACGACATGTCCATCCTGGGCCTCCTGCAGTGCCACAACGATGCCACCCGAAGGTTGCAGGAACAGCAACTCATATTCCGCTTGGGAACCCTGCAGCCCAATGGTATCAATGTGGATTTCACAAGCTTCAAAATCTCCCCTCCCCCTACCGCATCCCAAAACCAGTCCAGCTCGTCCCCGCCTCCCTAACCTGTTCTTCCTCCCACCTCAAGCCGCACCCCCATCTCCTACCGACTAACCTCATCCAGCCCCCTTGACCTGTCCGTCCTCCCTGGACTGACCTATCCCATCCTAACTTCCCACCTACACTCACCTTTACTGGCCCCATCCCCGCCTCTTCGACCTGTTTGTTTCCTCTCCACCTATCCTCTCCTCTATCCATCTTCTATCCGCCTCCCACTCTCTCCCTATTTATTTCAGAACCCCCTTCCCCTCCCCCTTTTCTGATGAAGGGTCTCGGCCCGAAACGTCAGCCTTTCTGCTCCTATGATGCTGCTTAACCTGCTGTGTTCATCCAGCCCTGCACCTTGTTGTCTCCAAGCCTATTGTGCCTCTCCCTTTATGGTCATCATTAGGCAGCTTTTTATTCCAGATATTATTTTCCTTGAATTCACATTTCAGGATGTGAACCCATGTCTCCAGAATATTAATAAAGGCAAAAATTCTATGAATGCTGGAAATGTGCAACGAGCACACAATGCTGGAGAAACGCAGCCGATCTAGCAGCATCTGTACAGGGAGAAACAGAGTCAATGTTTCGGGACCAACATGACTTCTTCCAGTTTGAAAGGTGTTGGAAAGTAGGTTCTCTTTTACAGTTTGGACAGAGGCAGAGGAGGAACAAGAGGATGCAGGGTATAGAGGCCCAGTGCAAAAGACATGGGGATTGTTACTAGTGAGGAAGAAGCAGCACATTCACCTGCCTGTATGGATTATTTGTCCAAAACACTACCACTAACTCACCATCTCTCTCACGGATTCCTTATCCTAAAGTCCATCCTCGGAAGGGGAATGCCATTAGGGTCATGAATATGCACCCCCAACCGTTCCTACTGTGCATGTAACATGGGTGTAAAACTGATTAATAACCTTCACTCACACCCTCCCATTACTTTTTGCAGCCGGGGAGTTTCCAGTTGGTCACCAGGATTTGGGACTATTTAAATACTGCGCTTCAATTTGCACATACAAAAAGGTAGCGCTCTCAAAATACCTTGCTGGAGTCTCTGTTCACTTGGCTCACAACGATCTCTCTTTTCTCTGCCACCTCGTTCACCATCACCTGCCACCAACCGCGCCCCCCCGCCCCCCCCCCCCCCCACCCCCCCTCCATGCACCTAAAGGGCATCAAAGCAAACATGAAGCGTTTGTACAACCTTTTGACCGATCAACAATTCAAACGTTGCTCCAAACCCAGGAAGTACAAGAAGCTGCTGTTCGCCTTGTGTTTCTTCCACAGTATCCTCCTGGAACGCAAGAAATTCCAGCAGCTTGGCTGGAACATTGTTTATGGTTTCAACGACTCAGACTTTGAGGTTGGTATGTTTACGTAGAATGAAGGCTGTTTGACAGGCTCACATCACTTGGGCTGCAGAAATCACTTTGTCACCTGTGTTACTTGTCTCTATTGTATATTCCATTTTTTTTTAGAAAACGTATTTGTGCTCAAGTTCAGGTGTAGGCTGCAAAACCTACCCATCAAATACTCCCAGGACAGGGACAGCACGGATTAGATACAGAGTAAAGCTCCCTCTACACTGTCCCCCGTCAAATACTCCTAGGGACAGGGACAGCACAGGATTAGATAAAAAGTAAAATTCCATCGACTTTTTTAAATTGAAAGTAAGCTTTCCTCGACACCATTCCCATCAAACAAAAGTGCCGTTTGCGATAACTGCATGAAGATCAGTTTCCTGTCACCAACTCACCTTTTATTTACATGTGCATAGAACACGACATTGACCCAGCTAGCTCAGAGCCAGCTCCCAGAGTGATCAGAACCACAGACACTCCTGTTTATATCTGTCAGCCAGGGCTCCCTGATTGGACCAGATTCACAGTCCCCAATCAAGGAGCTTATATTCTATGAAGGCCACCTCGCTGATCGTGTTACAATCACTACATCCTTGATGCTGTCTCCCATCTAAAACTCCCAGGGCAGTGACAGCATGGGTTACATGCAGAATAAAACTCTCTCTACATTGTCCCCAGCAAGTTTTCATTTGCCCAGCCCTGGTCGCCTGTGTTTGATGAATCCAATGTTACAAAGCTTAGATAGATGGAGCAAGGCTGTTGGATTAGTAACACACATAATTCTAGTTTTAAATACCAATCTCTCATTGCAGGTGTCAGAAAACCTCCTGAGCATATACCTGGATGAATATGATGTTACACCCTGGGATGCCCTCAAGTATCTGATAGCGGGGGTGAATTATGGAGGCCATGTGACTGATGACTGGGATCGCCGGCTGTTGAGCACATATATCAACGATTACTTCTGTGACAAAGCAGTGACCACCCCTTACTACAAGTAATTTGTGTTTCACTTGGTGAAATGATTGCGCTGCCCCTTAAGATCTAAACAAATGCATGTCAGACAGATAAATGCTTGTCAAGGCCAAGGTCTTGAGAGCAGTCAGGGCACGTTCCTATTGGTCCATTCACAGGAAATAAAAAATATATTTCCCGGCTTCTAAGAGTCTCTGACACAGGAACAAAATTAGTCCCATCTCTCGGGTTGCTTTACTTGGAAATCTTCCTCAAAGGGTTTTGTTCAAAGTCGACTTTCAGGAGTACGGAAACACCATATTTTACAGAACAGGCCTCTGTGATTTAACCGTCACAAGGAGACGGGGTGGGGCTCTGTGTCTGTGATCCCCCACACACGGTGACAGGATGGGGGTCTGTGTCTGTGATCCCCCCCAACACGGTGACAGGACGGGGCTCTGTGTCTGTGATCCCCCCGACGCGGTGACGGGGTGGGGGTCTGTGTCTCTGGCTCCCCCCCACACGGTGACGGGGCGGGGGTCTGTGTCTGTGACTCCCCCCAACACGGTGACGGGGCGGGGGTCTGTGATTTCCCCCCCCCACACAGTGACAGGATGACGGTCTGTGTCTGTGATCCCCCCCTCACCCCCAACACAGTGACAGGGTTGGGGTCTGTGTCTAGTTTTGTGGGGTAAGTTTTTCATTGTCATTGAGAATCCTAACTTTCCAACTGATTGCTGTACTGGATACCCTAACCTTCTACAATATCCAACTCATTGCAGCCTGTAAAGTCTGTATTCCTAATATTATTTTCTTCACTAAATAAAAACCGAGAGAACTGCGGATGCTGTAAATCAGGAACGAAAACAAAGTTGCTGGTAAAGCTCAGCAGGTCTGGCAGCATCTGTGAAGGAAATGTGAGGAAGGGTCACCAGACCCGAAACATTAACTCTGTTTTCTCCTTCACAGATGCTGCCAGACCTGCTGAGCTTTTCCAGTAACTTTGTTTTTGTTCATTATTTTCTTTGCTACCTGATGGATGTTGGGTTAGCTCCGTTGGCTGGACATCTGGTTTTGAGATACAGAGTGACACCAACAGTCAATTCCTGCACTGGCTGGGTTTACCCTGAAGGACTCTCCTCCTCAACCTCTCCCCTCTCCTGTGTGTGTGCAACTCTCATGTTATACCACCACCAGATGTTTCTCTCTAATGACAGAGCAGACTGTGATAACTTTATGACTTCTGTCGTGTTTGGAATGCCTTTCCACACTGAGGTGCAAGGGATTCATGTTTATGATGTGTGACAGACTTAAATGATTAAAAATGTTTTCATCTTGCAAAAAAAAGTGTTTTTTCTCCAACTCTAACCCACATACTATTTTTTACTGTACAGGAAGTCTTTAAAGCACAATTTTTTGCCTTCTATTCAGGCTTTCAATTCTGGATAACTACTACATCCCGAAAGATGGAGACCTGGAATCCTACCGAGAGTATATAAACATGCTGCCTACCATGGAGCATCCAGAGGCCTTTGGGCAACATCCCAACGCTGATGTGGCCAGTGAGATCATCGAGGCCCGCAGACTCTTCGAGACACTGCTGTCTCTCCAGCCACAGGTCACCACTGCTGTAGGCAAAGGCATGTCCAGAGAGGAAAAGGTAAAACCGCCCACTGGACCAGAGGAAAGCCTAGTTCCTGTGATTCCCATATTCCAGCAAACTGCATGATTCACTAAACCCAACGGACTGTGCTGACCATCACCAGCCCCACTCCCCCAAATCCCGCAAGGCCTCTCGTTCCCAACGATTAAAATATCGCATCACTGCTGGACAAGAATAGGGATAGAGAGAGCTTAGCAAACAGGAAGCTCAGTTATAACTACAGCAGCAGGGCAGCTGTGAGGATATTGTACTGCAGAGCAGGCTGAAGGGCCTGATGGCCTGCTTCTGCCCCTGTACTACGCAAAGATGTATTCTGTTTGTATATGTGACAGTGAGCAGTGGAGTGCTGCAAGGACCAGTGCTGGGACCACAGGTACTTGTAACTTACGTTGAAGACTTTGACAAACAGTCAAGAATCTAAATTTTCTGACAAAAAAAACTGCTTGGAAGGAATGCAAGCTGCAAGAAGGTGGGTGAGAGACCAGGGCAGGGAGAGTGGGTCAGTGAGAGAGGGAGAGAGGGAGAGGGGGCAGTGAGAGGGGCAGGGAGATGGCAGCAAAGAGAGAAGGAGAGTGAGTCAGTGAGACGGATGCGGGGCAGGGAGAGGGCGGCAATGAGAAAGGGAGAGTGGGTAAGTGAGAGGGAGAGGGTGGCAATGAGAGATGGATAGGGGGGTAGTGAGAGGGGAAAGTTAGAGACACAGAGTGGTTAGTGAGAGAGGGAGGGGGAGAGAGGGGGGGAGGGGGGGGGGGGGCGGGGAGAGGGGGAGGAGGGGAATGTTGGGCAGAAAGAGGGGAGAAGGAGATGGGGGCAAGGAGAGGAGGAGAGGTGGGTAGGTAGGGAGCGAGGGTGGACAGTGAGAGAGGAAGGGGGGGCAGTGAGAGAGGGGTAGGGGAGCAGGGAGATGGGGGCAGGGAGAGGGGGCTGGAGAGAGTGGCAATGAGAGGGAGCCATGGAGAGGGGGAGCAGAAGGCAGTGAGAGACCCAGAGGAGGAGTCTAAACCCTTGCTGCAATGATTCAGGGTTTTGCTGGAGACCACACTTTGAATAGTGTGTGCGGTTTTGGTCTCCTGATTGAAGGATTGATTGGAGAGGGCAGAGCCAAAGTTCACTAGGCTGGTCCTTGGGATGAAAGGGTGGCTCTGTCATGATAGGCTGAGTAAATTGGGACTACATTCTGTGAAATTGAGAAGAATAACAGGTGACCTCATTGAGGTATGGCAGATTGTGAAGAGATTTGACAGGGTCGGTCAGCACTGTGCGATTGTTCTCCCCTCAGCTGTAAATCCCGGAGTATAGGGGCTGAGGATAAGGGGCCAATGTGTAGAACTGAGTGGAGGAGGAACGTCTTCATTCAGAAGGTGGTGAACCTTTGGAATTGTCTCCCTCAGAGGGATCTGGATGCTCTTTCATGAATGTATCTCACGTTGAGATAGCGCTTTGGTCTCCCAGGGTCTAGGAAGTGGCAGGAAAGTGAAGTTGAAGCAACGTGGACTCTGAGTTGAGATCAGCAATGTTTGTACTGAATGGTGGAGCAGCTCGACGGGCTGAATGGTCCACTCCTGTTGCTATTTCATGTGATCTTACATTGTGCAGCCAAAACTTATCCCTCAATCAAAAATGAGAACAGAATACATGGTCATCGTCACGATGCTGTGTATGGGATCTTGCTGTGTGCAAGTTGGCTGCCCAGTTGCCTGCATTACCACGGTGACTATACTTGGAGGATAAACTGTATAGATGTGAAAAGCTCTACAGAAATACAGGTTCCTCTTGTAGTCAGCTGGTTCAGCCCCACATCCTCAGGCAGTGGATCTACTCTTGAGCCACTTATCAGCTAGAGCCAGTGCCAGGCCGTGCAAGTGTATTGTCCTTCCGTTGCAAACACCAGCTCATCTTAAATTTAACACTGCTGGGAGGTGGGGTGTGGCTGATCAGCCCCTCACTGAGGGACTGACACACAGCAGGCACAGAAAGCCCCCATCCTCTGGTGACAGTCACAGAGGCCAGATTCCCTCCTGTGGTCTCTCTCTGTCTTCACATTGTATGTATGCAGTCCTGCAGTAACCTCACACTCTGTTGATACCATAGGTACTCGAGCTATCAGCTGACGTGCTCCAGCGGACCCCTGAGGACCTTGACTATGAGGGGACCCAGACGATGTTGCAAGAAGACCCTTCTCCCTTGAATGTGGTACTTTTGCAGGAGATCCAACGTTATAACATTCTCCTCGACATCATCAGGTTGGATTAATGTTTGACTGTTTATTATTTCACCTCCTTAACCTCTCTGTTTCACCAACGCACTTTCCTCTCCCCCACACCCCATTGCTTCCTTCCAATAGCTGCCTGTGTATAGGAGCAGCTATTGGATAGTGCCAGTGCTAGCTAAGTGGCAGCGTTCCTAATATCACACTCCCAGGACAGGGACAGCACAGGGTTAGACACAGAATAAAGCTCACTCTACACTGTTCCCCCCCCGCCGGCCATCAAACATTCCCAGGACAGGGACAGCATGGGGTTAGATACACAGTAAAGTTCAGTCTACACTATTAAACTGAAATTGAAGTTCCCAGCACTCTTTTAGAACAATACTAAAGCTCCCTATTCTCTTCAAACCAGGGTAGGACTTACACAGATAATGGTAGGGGCCTGGGCAGTGTTGCCAAACAGAGACTGAGTGGTGCAGGTGCATAGTTCCTTGAAAGTGGAGTCACAGGTAGACTGGGTGGTGAAGAAGGCGTTTGGCATGCTTGCTTTCAGTGATCAGTGCATTAGGTATAGGAGTTGGGAGGTTATGTTGCAGATGTATAGGACATTGGTGAGGCCATTTTTGGAATATTGCGTTCAATTCTGGTCACCCTGCTCTAGAAAGGATGTTGTTAAACTTGCAAGCGTTCAGAAAAGATTTACAAGGAAGTTGCTGGGACTGGAGAGTTTGAGCTATCGGAGACGGCTGAATAGGCCGGGGCTTTATTTCCCTGGAGTGTCGGTGACTGTGGGGTGACCTTATAGAAGTTTATAAAATCATGTGGGGCATGAAAAGAGTGAATAGCCAAGGTCTTTTTTTCCTAAGATAGGTGAGCCCAAAACTACAGGGCACAGGTGGAATGAGCTGCCAGGGGAAGTGGTGGAGGCTGGTATAATTACAGCATTTAAAAGGCATCTGGATGGGTACATGGATAAGAAGGGTTTAGAGGGATATTGGCCAAACATAGGCAAGTGGGACTAGATCTGTTTAGGAAATGTGGTCAACATGGACAAGTTGGACTGAAATGGCTGTTTCTGTGCTGTATGACTGTATGAAAGTAAAACTTCCTCTACACTGACCCCCTTCAAACACTCCCAGGGACAGGGACAGCACAGGGTTAGACACAGTATGAAGTTCCTGGTACAGAGCTGTCAGGTATTTCAGAGTATTCCCATGACTTGAGTTGGGTAACATTTCCAGTTCATGACAGACCCATGCTGTAAACCCTGATGTCTGCAGCTTTTAATACCATGAGCACGGTGAGGGAGCCTGGCTCAGCGGGCTTGCAGTACTGAAATGGAGAAAGGATCCTCAATGCCAGCACTCCAGGGATCCTAACAAAATGTTCAGCTTTCCCTCAATGCTCTTTTGCTTCCCTCCTGTGGGGATTGACTCGCTGTTGGGTGTTGTTCCTGACACTGGCTGCCTTGCTGGTCCTGAGGCAACCTTTTGCCCTGTGATCAATGTTCAAGTGTGTGAAATCTCAGTACGTTCCCATCCCCGTCAAACACACACCCAGTGCTGCTTTTACAATCTGTTTTAAAAAAGATCATATTCTTCTGCTGTTGGCTGAGTTCTTTGCTGTCCCACTATGGCCTTTCTGATTTGTCCCTTTGTTGTGCCGTATTCTAACAAACCTTTTGTTTTATCATGTGTCCTAAGGACATCCCTGACTGAACTCAAGATGGCAATCCAAGGGCTAGTTGTCATGTCCACTGACCTGGAGGAAATATTCAGCTGTATTCACGATGCTCGTGTTCCTCCTTTATGGGAAATGGTAAGGGAGCTCTGAGGACATGGCAATCATGCTTGAAGGAGAACGGTAAATTGCTAAACCTGACCACAGCGTCAGCGCAAGGTACTGATTGTTCTCTTACCTAGAAGACAACGTGTTTGATTCCCCCTCCCTCCAATGTTCCTTGTCAGGGTGCCATTGCCCAACTCATCACTACTGTCCATTCATTCATGTGACTTGGCATTTCCCTGGAGCATTAGTATTAACACCCTCCAGGACTGAGGGGAGTGGTGTGAGCTGAACTCGTTTCCTCCCTTGTGCTGCCTCCTCCATGGGCATGTTTGCCAGCAGGAGGCAGTGGTGCTGGACCTGTTTATGTGTTGGCCTGCACCTATCAGAGTCTCAGGAGTCTGTAACTTTCCTGAACACCACAAGTTCTCTTTGCTTCACCCGGCTGAGCGTGCAAGCTAGAGTTTTGTCTCCATTCAGGCAGTGCTGCAGAAGCAACATGCATTTCCATAGCATCTTTAATATCACATTGCTTGTCCCTAGTTGCCCCCCTTGAGAAGGTGGGGGTGAGCTGCCTTCTTGAACCGCTGCAGTCCATGTGCTGTGCGTTGACCCACATTGTCCCTTAGGGAGGGAATTCCAGGATTTTGACCCAGCAACACTGAAGGGACGGCGATATATTTCCAAGTCAGGATGGGGAGGGGCTCGGAGGGGAACGTGCAGGGGGCTAGTGTTCCCATGTACCTTGTCCTTCGAGATGGAAGTGGTCGTGGGTTTGGAAGGTGCTGTCTGAGGATCTTTGGTGAATTTCTGCAGCGCATCTTGTAGATGGTACACACTGCTGCTACTGAGCGTCAGTGGTGGAGGGAGTGGGATGTTTGTGGATGTGGTGCCAATCGAGCGGGGGCTGATTTGTGGGCAGAATGGTGTCTTCCTGCTTCGAGATCGATCTGATCAGCCAATTAGCACCATACAGTTTAACATGTTTTAGGCTTGTTCCTCAGCCCACACTGTGTGACAGTCTGGATCTGCCATTAGCCTTTGTATTAAGGTTTCCCATCCACTTCCTTCAGGCCTACCCATCAATGAAGCAACTTGGAGCCTGGACACGTGACCTGGTTCACAGAGTGGAGCAGCTGGCCAGATGGGCTGAGACCGCGCACCCACCTGTCATCTTCTGGATTTCTGGTTTCACCTTCCCTACAGGATTCCTCACTGCCGTGTTGCAGCTTGCAGCCCGCAAGAACACAGTAAGCACATCCTGCAACAGCTATTTTCCCTGGAGTGTGGATGAGGGACACCTTATAGAGGTTTATAAAATAATGAGGGACATGGATAGAGTGAATAACCAAGGTCTTTTGTCCAGGGCAGGGGGAGTCCAAAACTAGAGGGGCATAGGTTTAAGGTGAGAGGGGAAAGATTAAAAAGAGACCTGAGGGGTAACTTTTTCACGCAGAGGATGGTGCGTGTTTGGAATGAGCTGCCAGAGGAAGTGGAGGCTGGTACAATTACAACATTTAAAAGGCATCTGGATGGGTATATGAATAGGAAGGGTTTAGAGGGATATGGGCCAAATGCTGGCAAATGGGACTCGATTAATTTAGGATATCTGGTCAGCATGGACGGGTTGGACTGAAGAGTCTGTTTCCGTGATGTACATCTCTATGACTTCATCTGGGTCAGCATTTCCTGTGCCTATTGCTGTCTATAGTTCAAAATGGCATGTGGACATGTCTGACAATCCACTGGCTAAAAGTCACAAAGGCCCAGTGACCAGTCTACAGGAGCAGAACACAGAGGTATTGTCAATGGTGTCAGAGAGGGTTTGGATCAGATTTAGGAGAATGGGACTGAGGATAAGAGCTTTTAGTGAAGAGGAGAGACTAGAGAAGTTGGGATGATCTCCTCAGAGCAGAGAGGATCAAGAAGTGAATGTAACTGAGGTATTTGGAATAATGAGGGTCAGTAATCAGAGGGGCACAGATCAAAGAGAATCAGCAAAAGAACTCGAGAATATTTTATGCAGTAAGACTCTATAATTTATTGAATTTATCAGCAGTTCAATTCGACAATGAGAAAAATAATTTTTTTTCACCTCTTCCTTTCCCACAAGATATCAGTGGATTCACTGTCCTGGGAATTTATAGTTTCTGTGGTCGATGATAATAATCTGTTGGAGCCACCCAAGGTATGGTAAAGACTACCTTCACACAACACCACATGGTCTGAGCTCACTGTACGAAGAAAGAACTGTATTTCCATTGTGCCTTTCATCATTTCACAACATCCCAGAACCCCTTACAACAAATGGAGTTTAACCAGCACTGGAACATTTAAAAAAAAAATGACATAGCAGGATCCCACAGGCACTAAATTTGCAATCTGTATTTGATGGTGTTGGTTGAGGCACAGATATTGATCTGGGCAATTCCATCAGGAATCGAACAGTAACAAAAAATTAGTTCAAAACCTCATGTGAAACACTTAAATCATTGAAAGCGCGGTGCTCCCTCAGCACTGACCCTCCGACAGTGCGGCGCTCCCTCAGCACTGACCCTCTGACAGCGAGGCGCTCCCTCAGCACTGACCCTCCGACAGTGAGGCGCTCCCTCAGCACTGACCCTCCTACAGGGCAGCGCTCCCTCAGTGCCGACCTTCTGACAGTGCCCATTCCCTCAGCACTGACCCTCTGACAGGGCGGCACTCCCTCAGCCCTGACCTTCCGATAGCGTGGCGCTCCCTCGGCGCTGACCCTCTGACAGTGCCCACTCCCTCAGCACTGACCCTCTGACAGTGCCCACTCCCTCAGCACTGACCCTCCGACAGCGCGGCGCTCCCTCAGCACTGACCTTCCGATAGCGCAGCACTCTCTCAGCATTGAGACTTGATGCCATTCCCTACTCAGGGGAAGATGTGAGTTTAAATTGTGCGCAAATGCTTAACCGACTGTCCAACCTTAGCGTGAATGAGTAGGTGTTTCATCACGACCTCAGCCTCGATGTGCAGCAGAGTCTGAGTCTACTCATATTCTCATTTCCATCCCTGCTCCTGCCCTATCCCTCTCTGCTTTCCTTTTCCAACCCCATCCGCTCAATGAAATAATGGTTCTGCTGATTCCTATCACCTCTCTTCCCTCAGGATGGTGTCTATGTGAAAGGCATGTTCCTGCAAGGAGCAGGATGGGACAAGAGGAACGCTTGCCTGGTGGAAGCTGAACCCATGCAGCTGGTCTGTCCCATGCCATCCATTCATTTCAAACCGGTGGAAAACAAGAAAAAATCCGGAAAAGGTAACGGGAATGGGCTGGGTCTGGCATTTAGAGGAAGGTAGCTCAGAAGTTTAGAGTGCTCCATCCCAGAGCCGGTTTATACAAGAACAGCTTCAGGATCACAAATCATAGAGTCATAGAGTCCTGCAGCACAGAGAGAAGCCCTATGGCCCAAATGGGTCCATGCTGACCAAAATGTCCATCCACGTTAACCCCATTTCCCTGCACTTGGTCCATATCCTGCTAAACCTTTCCTGTCCATGTATTCATCCGAATGCCTTTTAAATGTTAATGTACCCACCTCAACCACTTCCCCTGGCAGCTCATTCCATATGCATACCACCTTCTGTGTAAAAAAAAAGTTGCCCCTCAGGTTCCCATGTATTCTTTCTCCTTTTACCTTAAACTGATGCCCTCTAGTCCTCGATTCCCCAAATCTGGGAAAAAGACTGAGTGCATTCACCCTATCCATGCCTCTCATGGTTTTATACACTTCTATAAGATCCCCTCTCAATGCAAATTGCCGATTATTTGAGATATTTGCATTGCTATGACGTACTTCAGGGGTGAGGGGTACAGACTGGAGATTCTGTGGCTGCAAATGGGAACCCAGGATGATGTGTTGCCTCCCAGATGCCAGAGTCCAGGATTTCTTGGAGCGGCTGCAGAATTTTCTCAAGGAGGAGGGTGAGCAGCCAGAAGTCATTGTGCACATTGGCACAAATGACATAGATAGAAATAGGGATAGGGTCCTGCAGAGTGATTATAAAGAGCTCAGAAAAAAGTTAAAAACCAGGACCTTGACAGTGATAATCTCTGGCTTACTTCCAGTGCCACGTGTTAGTGAGGGTAAGAACAGGAGGATATGGCAGATGAATGCATGGCTAAAGAATTGGTGCAGTGATTCAGATTACTGGATCATTGGGATCTTTTCTGGGGCAGAGGTGACCTGTTCAAGAGGGATGGGTCCAATATCCTGGCGAGCAGATTTGCTAGCGTGACAAGGGAGGATTTAACCTAGATTGGCGAGGGGGGTGGGATCCTCAGCAACAGGGAGGCAAGTGTGAGGCTGGAAGGAAATACAGTAATCAGAAATAGCAAGTTGAAGAGACAGGTCAGGCTGGAACAGGGCAGGGAGCGAGGATTGCCTGTTGGATTAAATTGCATCCATTTCAATGCAAGAGGGATGACAGGTAAGACTGATGAACTCAGGGCATGGATAGGGCTGGAATATTATAGCCATTACAGAAACGTAGGTAAAGGACGGGACAGGACTAGAAAGTTAATGTGCCAAGGTACAGGTGCTTTAGGTGGGACAGAGGTGGAGTAAAGAGGGGAGGGGGAGTTGCATTTTTGATTAATGGGAGTATCACAGCAGTAGTCAGAGATGAAATAATTGAGGGACCATCCAGTGGTGCTTTGTGGGTGGAGCTAAGAAATAAGAAGGGGATGGTGACATTATTCGGGTTGTCGTCTAGGTCCCCAAATAGTCAATGGGAATTAGAGGAACAAATATGCAGGGAGATTGTGGAGACATGCAGGAGAAATGGGGTTGTCATAGTGGGGGATTTTAATTTTCCTAACATAGACTGGGACTCCTATAGTGTTAAGGGCATGGATGGGGTGGAATTTGTTGAATGTGTTCAGGAAAGTTTCCTCAAGCAGTAATTAAGGGTCCTACTTGGGAAGGGGCAAAACCTGACTTACTCTTGGGAAATAGGATAGGACAGGTGACTGAGGTGACAGTGGGGAAGCACTTTGGGACCAGTGACCATAGTTCTATTAATTTTAAAATAGTTATGGAGAGGAGCAAACTGGTCGAAGGCAAATTTTGATGGAATTAGACAGGAGCTTGCAGAGGTTGATTGGAGTAGTTTGTTTGCGGGGAAAGGAACCTCTGGCAAGTGGAAGGCCTTTAAAAGTGTGATAGCTAGAGCTCAAGGTCTATATGTTCCTGTGAGGGCAAAGGGCAAGATTAGCAGGAGTAGGGAACCCTGGATGACCAGAGATATTGAGGCTTTGACCAGAAAAAAGGAGGCATGGCTCAGGTACAGGCAGCTGGGATCAAGGGAATCCCTGGAGGTATAGATACAGAAGTTTACTGAAGAAGAAAATCAGGAGGGCGAAAAGGGGGCATGAGATAGCTTTGGCTGAGAAGATTAGGGTGAATCCAAAGAGATCCTTTAAGTATATTTAAAAAATAACTAGAGAGAGAATAGGACCCCTCAAGGACCAAAGTGGACATGTATGTGTGGAACCGCAGGAAATGGACAAGGTCCTGAATGAATATTTCTCCAGTGTTTCCCATGGAGAAAAACATGAAGACTTGGAAATTTGGGGAAGTTAGTGGCGATATCTTGGGACCAGTCCATATCATAGTAGAGGAGGTGTTGGATGTATTAGAATTGTATGAAGGTGGATAAATCTCCTGGTCCTGACCAGATATGTCCAAGAACCTTGCCAGATGCTAGAGAAGAAATTGCAGGGGCTACGGCTGATGTATATTTGCATCATACTTATCCCATTATTCCTCCAGGGATCTATTCCTGTCCATGTTATTACTACTCCCAGAGATCTGGAAGCAGCCGACACACGTCGTTTGTGGTGGGGATTGAGCTGAAGACTGGAGACAAGCCGTCTGATCACTGGATCAAACGAGGGACTGCACTCTTACTGAGTCTTGATTATTAGGATCTTTCAGTAATCCTCTCACTCTAACCTTTGAGGAGAATGTGATCATCACCAGAATGCTGCTACATAACTGGAAGGGAATACAGAAGTCATTTCTGAGGAATCCGAAGGGAAATCTTGTTTGTAAAACCTTACCAGCACAGTGCATTTCATTGTTCCTTCTCGTGTAATCACCAGTCCAGTTCCACATTCGAAGGTAATTTTTAATTAGATGCTGCACCAATAAATATTTTTGTAACGTTGTGTGGTGCCACAGTATCTGGTGTAACATTAGTGCCATTTGGAAGCCAGGCAATAACCCTCTCTGATAAAGGAATCCAACTGTCTCCCCTTCAACAACACGACCATTGGTGAATCCCCACAACCTGTGTTCCAAATGAGGAATGCACAGACAGAGGGGAGACACTGAACAGGAACAAATGCCTCACCTTCCAGGATTAGGCTCAAAATGACAGGAAACACTTTGAATTTTCCAACATTCCAGCACCTCAAGACATCAAACACTCCCAGGACATGGACACAGCCGGGTTAGATACAGAATAAAGCTCCCTCTACACTGTCCCCCATCAAACACTCCAAGGACAGGGACAGCACGGGGTTAGATACAGAGCAATATTTCCTCTATTCTTTTAAATGGAAAGTAAAGTTTACTCTAAACTGTCTCCATCAAACATTCCCACAACAGGTACAGCATGGATTTAGACAGAGTGAATCTCCCTCTACTCTTTTAAATGGAGTCCCTTGGCACTGTCCCCATCAAACACTCCCAGGACGGGGACAGCATGGAGTTAGATACAGAGTAAAGCTCCCTCTACACTGTCCCCCATCAAACACTCCCAGGACAGGGACAGCACGGAGATAGATACAGAGTAAAGCTCCCTCTACACTGACCCCCCCCCATCAAACACTCCCAGGGACAGGGACAGCACGGGGTTAGATACAGTGTAAGGCTGCATCAACCAGCTCATCAGTAAAGGAGACATAAAACTTTGAAAAACATTTAAAATAAAACCTTTATAACTTTTTGTTCATCCACTTACAATAGTATCCAGTCCATTGTGATATCGCAGGTGGGAAAGGGGCACAGTTGAGTTTGGAGGAGGGCAGGGGAAGTTAGTTTTGCAACCCTCACATGCCGGAATCTATTCTGACAGCAGACATCCAGGTCCTGAATCAGTGCAAGGTAGGATTTAGTCGGGACTTAATCAGGTTGGGAGGGTGGTATCAGGTACAAGCACACAACTGAACTCTCTGTCCTCTTGGGGCACCATTTAGCACAGCCCTGCTTCTGGATGCTGGGAACTTTAGTAATATTTTTGTTCCCTGGATTTTTGGATTGCGGAATGCATCTTGATGGGTATATGAATAGGAAGGGTTTAGAGGGATATGGGCCAAATGCTGGCAAATGCCGACTAGATATCCTAAATAAATCTAGTCCCAAGGACAAGTAGGACCGAAGGGTATGTTTCTGTGCTGTACAATTCTATGACCCTAAAAGCAGAGCTGGAAGGGATTGGAAGTGCACACTGTCCTCAAGGTCCTGCCACTCCAGGCTGCTGATAGGTCTCAGATAAACTCAATTTCTCACTTGCTCAGAAGTTACTTTCTTCTGAGGAGGTTGAAACCACCAACCGAGATGAACTGGAAGTGTTACTTTAACTCTGGGTTTATCCTCCATTAGGACCCTCTGAGGCAGGAGAATGCAAATCTTTTGCCCAGGGTTTAAGTTTCTGACAACGTTGGTGCTCCCGGTTGAGAGGCCTGGCCAATGATAACTAGTCAAACTGTAACCACAGCAGCCCTGTACCTCACTGTCACTGCGGCCGGTTCCCACCACTCTTCCTCCCTCCTAACCCATCAGCAAGGACAACAGCACCCTCTCTATCTCTCAGCAGAATCCCTCTCTCCAGTGCCACCCTCAGAAACTGAGGGACAGCGAAATCATCAACAATTCATTGCTTTGATCCTGGTGACTGCATCTTTCTGATCACGCTTGCTGGTTGGAGAGAATTAAAAGCCGTAATGTTTTTGGATGCTGTGCTAGTGCTCTGTAACATTCCATTTTTAAGACACTCTAGGGATTGCTAGGCCTTAAAGGTGCTTCCTCTGATTCCTCTCCCTGCTATTCTATGTCATTGACTCCTATCAGGAGGGTCCCCCACTTGTAACACCCTTTAACAGATATGTACTGACCCCCATCTCCCTCCCAAGCTTGCTGGGGGTTCAGGTCTGAGCAGCAGCAGCCTACCAGTACCAGCCCATAGTTAGGGACACCAAGATGTAGGAGTCCCAAAGCACCTAATGTCATTGCTGCAGTTTGTTGTCAAGGATACAGCCAGTTTGTGTGGTCACAGTAAACACGTCCAACTGTGACGACATGATGGTTCCTCACTTTCACTCAGAGGACTGTGTTCGGGCGGGGGGAAGAGAGAGAGAGAGACTGTTGTCTTGAGACCAACCGAAGCCACAGGGGCCAGGCAGGAGGGCGAAAGGAGGTTGCAAAGAATAGCAGGCCACCTCAAAGACCCTGCACAGTCACCTGCCATCTCCATCATTCCCCACCCCCCACAAACAAAACCCTGCCCCCTCCTCCTTCAACGGCAGGGTGTTTCCCCCTAACCCACCAGCTCACAGCCCTGGCAGGTTCACAGCCACCGTGCCCTGTCCCAAGCTCCTCCTCCAACCAAGGCCCGAAATGAAAACTGAGCAACTCGTGGGACGCTGCTCAGAAACCGTACTGTTCTGTGGAGCGGGACACTCTGTAAGCTAATCAGAAATAAATAAATAAAATTAACCAAAGGCTAAAAGGGGGAAACATCAGTTCCAGCAGCAACGTAAAGCAGGATGTAAAGTAACAGTAACAGTCAAGCAATCAGCATCTGGTGGCGATCATTTTTCCATCGAGCTCAAGGGACTGAGTAAATTCTCTGGACACTACAAGGAAGCCCCCTGGTTACGAATGGGTTCCATTCCTGGGTATGTTCATAAGTTGATTGGTACTCAATTTGGAACACAATACAATACAATATAAAATAGCTATTCGTACATACAAGCAAACCTTCGCCTGGTGAGTCTTTACAATGAATATTAATATGGGATCTTGCTCGTAAGTACAAGTGTTTGTAAATTGGATGTTCATAAATCAGGGACACCCTGTAGTAGAATGAGAAGTGGTCTCACTGAAACATACAAGATTCTGGAGGAGTTTGATAGGTACAGACAGAGTGAGATTGCTCCCCTTGGACTGGGAAATCCAGAACCCGAGGGAGGAGTCTCAGGAAAAGCGCCCGATCGTTTAGGACGGAGAAGGAACATCTTCAAACATCAGATGGTAGTGAATCTTTGGAATTCTCTTCCCCGGAGCATGGTCGTCACCAAGGGATGTTTGAGACTGAGATTGAGAAAGTTAATGATGAAGGGACATGAAGTGCAGTTGAAGTGGTTCAGTCGCAATCCATCCAAATGGTGGAGGGAGGGAGAGAGGGAGGCGTCCTCCTCCAGTTTACAGTCACGATCTCCATGCAGCGATGGATGAGGCCTCTTCTTCCAACAAAGGTGCACACAGGGAGGCAGAGAGATGGACAATGTCCACATCTCATTGAAGAAGACAGGAAGCATTTTCCACAAGGTGCATTGAGTGAGCAAGGTAGTCTTTCTCCAACCAGGCTTGCATTTCATGCTGCATTCTGTCCATTGCCAGCCATCTTCAGATTGTTTTAACTTTTAATGATTATTTTTGTTTTATTTTCTCTTTCGAGTGCAGGCAGCAAAACCAGACAATATGAGGGGCGGGACGAGGGAAAGAATAGAGAACAGAAAAAGCAATATTTTAAAGTCTCTTTTTTTTTTCATTTTTTTTACCATCGTCGCTGTATTTTGTTTTCTGTTTGCGTGAGGTTTTTTTTTAAAATAAGGAAGTTATTTACAGTCACCCAGAGACAAGCCAAGATTTGTTCAGTCGACAGCTCAGGCTTCACAGACATTATGCCCCTCTCGTGCATCGCAGTTGGGGTTGGGGGTGGAGGGCAGGATTTATCTTTGAAAAGTTCTTTCGTAGGATCCTTGTTAGTTGCTTGCCTTACACACAAAGCATGCACAAGCGAGTTTTGCACAGTGCGGAAACAAACAGGTCACACGCAAGGCTGTCACCTTTTTCTTTTTTTTTAAAAAAAAATTTTTCTTTTGTTTTAGTTCCTTTGCCCATCCCGTAACCAAGCGATTGAAAGAAGGAAAACTGTGTGTGTGTGTGTGTGTGTGTGTGTGGGTTTGTATCAAGGAGGAGCGGGAACAGTCAGGTCCTGCAAGAGACAATAGCAGCTGTAGAAGCTCAGGAAGGAGCAGGTAGCACGGATGAGATCAGTCGGCTGTTTTTAAGGGGAGGTGGGGCAGGGTTGGAATGATGAGGATTTGGAGGGTGGGTGGGGGGTGGTGGTTATCCTTAGAGTCTCTCCCGAGAAGGGACCCAGATGTAGGGCCCAGAGTGGTCCTCAATGACGTGCTTTGTTCGAATGTAGATCTCCTCGAAGCTATCCCCTTCCACAATCGCTGCAAACACAGAGGGAAACACACAAGAGGTTGGTTCACTTTGAAGAGAAACTGCATGGCCAGACATGGGGGACAAGGAATTGGCTTCAGGCAGCCACCAAGAGACTATCTCCCCATCCAGTATCCCGGGAGAATACAACCATCCCAGTGCAAATCGCGATTACTCACTGCCAGATGGGACAATTTAACCCTCAATTGTGACTCCATCGATCCAGCTCACTTCCATGATTATCCCACAAAAAAAATGTTACAAACTCAGCTTTGAAATTTCCAGAGGACCCCAGACTCAGCAGAATTCAGAAAAAAGGCTTTGGGAGTCAGGTTCCCTTGGGAGTCTCAGATCCAGAGTCTGGGAAGTGAGACTGGTCTGGCGGAGATATAATTGGGAGGGTGTGGGGGTGAACCAAGTATGGGGTCAGGTTCATAGTTACCCAGGATTTAGACAATAAGTTCTTCAATTAAAGGGTGGCACGGTGGCTCAGTGGTTAGCTCTGCTGCCTCACAGCGCCAAGAACCAAGGTTTGATTCCACCCTCAGGCAACTGTCTGTGTGAAGTTTGCACATTCTCCCCGTGCCTGCGTGGGTTTCCTCCGGGTGCTCCGGTTTCCTCCCACAGTCCAAAGATATGCGGGTTAGAGTGGATTGGCCGTGCTAAATTCTCCCATAGTGTTCAGGGATGTGTAGATTAGGGGGATGGGTCTGGGTGGGATGTTCTGAAGGTCAGTGTGGACTTGTTGGGCCAAAGGGCCTGTTTCCACATGCTAGGGATTCTATGATCTATGAAAATATTGAATCGCTAGTGTCTGAGTAGCTGTTTCACTAAATTTTTTTGGAACCCTCAGATTTAAAGATTCCAGGTGGTCAGGAATTGCCGAGTAGAAAATTACATTTCTCAAGTAATCGAGGATTCTGCAGGGTCCCCTTTAACTGTGGAATAACAACTGGTTACCTGGAAAATCCGGATCTGTCTCTCCCATTCCCAACTCAACCATTTCATTCCAAATATTAAAATCTCACTGGGTCTCCCCTGAAATGAATCTTCCCCCAGCACTGATTCTTGTCAATATCTCATTTATATCATTCATCCCTCATCTGCAACTCAAGAGATTCTGGGTCAGGGGGTCTGCTGTGGGGAAGGGGTTTCATCCATGAGATCACAAGCCCCATGTTTCAAAGAATCTCACAGACAAACACAGATGAGAGAAACAGGATGTAAGCTAGTCGCACACCTGAGAAACACTCTGTAAACTCTTGTTCCAACTTCACAGCCCTCTCATAGGCTTTGCGAGCCTGTTCCTCTGTCAGTCGTTTGTTAATCTCCCTGTAACAGAAATCACAAACCAACTGAGAATATCTTTCATTCATTTCACACAACGATAGAGCGCCAATCAGACAATCATAACACTTTAATCACACCCTCCGACAGTGCGGCGCTCCCTCAGCGCTGACCCTCCGACAGTGCGGCGCTCCCTCAGCGCTGCCCCCCCACAATGGCGGACTGTGCATGTCAACCAGATTTTGGAATTAAATCTCTAGACTGTGATTTTAAAGCACAACATTCTGACTCAGAAGTGAGGTAGTTACTGAGTGACTTGTTTTGGGCAAAGACAGGGATGGGGGCAACCGAGGAATGGGGTTAACCAGGTGTCGGGCAATGAGACAGGGCCTGCAGGCTAGCATGTATTGGACTGAATGGCCTGTTCTCTCCCAGGTTTTAACACAAATGCTCCTGGGGCTGTGTACTGAGTGTGGTCAACAGCGAACAATTGTGGATGCTGTAAACCAGGAAGAAAAACAGAAGTTGCTGGAAAAGCTCAGCTGGTCTCTCAGCATCTGTGAAAACAAAAACCAGAGAGTTAATGTTTCGCGTCCGGTGACCCTTATTCAGAACAGCAAATAGAAGACTTACATGATGTTCTCCAGAGACTTGGGCCTGATGAAAATGGCGACAGGGTGAAGGTGAGCTGCTTGTAACCTTCGCACTGCATTGGCCGACACATCCAGAATGCAATGCTTCCCCTGAAATGTGGAAAGGAGTCACAACGTTTACTGAGGGCAGACTTGGGGCAGGGGCAAGGGTACGGAGGAGGAGCAGAGAGAGGCAGACAGACACAGAGAGGCTCGGGGGGTAGGAGCTGGCATACAGCAAGGGGCAGATGGGTCTGCAGGTAGAAGCGCTGAAGAACCAATAGAAGAGACAAAATTGCTTGAAATGGAAATTCATTCAAATAGAGAGAGAGAGATGATAGAAAAGGGAGGGGGACAAGCTGAAAAAGCTGAAAACAGACAATGCCAGGCAGAGAGAAACTGACACTAGACAACACGAAACACAGAAAACAGATGGGTGGAAACAACTACAAATATTAGATAGGTTAACTTACTACGTAAGGGGCTAACACTGAATGTATATCAGTGAGTAGAATCATCCACTGGTTACAGCACAATGACTAGTCGTTCAGGCCACTCCAACTAGCTTCAGGGTTTGAGTGAAGATTTGTAGCTCAGGTGCTTGTTGTAGATGTTGGTGTGTTCGCCGAGCTGGGAGGTTTGATAGCAGACATGGCGTCCCCTTACTAGGTGACATCCTCAGTGCTGTGGAGCCTCCTGTGAAGCGCTGTTATCCTGTGCTGGTTTGAATTTATATATGGTCCGGTTTTTGCCTCTTCTGGTAGGTGCTGGTTCCGGCTGTGCGTTGTAATGGTCGGTATATCGGGTCTAATTCAACGTGTTTGTTGATAGAGTCCGCAGATAAATGCCTAGCCTCCAAGAATTCCCTGGCTGTCCTCTGTTTGGCTTGTCCGATGATAATACTGTTGTCCCAGTCAACCATTACAACACACAGCCGGAACCAGCACCTACCAGAAGCAGCAAAAACCAGATCATATATAAATTCAAACCTGCACAGGACAACAGCGCTTCACAGGAGGCTCCACAGCACTGAGGATGTCACCTGGTAGGGGGACAAAACGTCTGTTATCAAACTTCCCAGCTCGGTGAACACACCAAACATCTGCTATTCCAACCAGCTCTCTGCAAGATCAATCGATCTGAGCTACTCTCTCACCTTTTCCCTGTGGCCCTGAGATTCCCTCCCCTCAGGTACTGATCCGATCCCCTTTTGTAAGACACAGCTGAATCTGCTTCGATCAAACTCTCGGACAGATCGTTCTAATAACTCACGTTTCCATTCACTTGATTGAACGCAACAGCCACTAACCGCAGCGATAGTTCAACCCCAACTGTCTATACCCTGGTCAATCACTAGCTGGTATTCCTGTTTGTACAGAACCAGGCACTGTGCAGCACAAACCTTCAGCTCTGAGGAGTAGCATTAGTCTTCAGAACGTCACTAAGCCCAAAGCTTGAAGTTTCGTTGCAGCCTTTAATTACCTGAAGGAGCTGTGCTGTCCCCAAACAGCAAACATCCT